GGATTTTGAGGAAAACTGAGATTAACGGTCGTGGGGGTCCGTTGCGCTGACCACGTGACACCATCTATCTGAAAAAGTTGGCATTAACTTCGCCGACAAGCGGCGGTCGCTCGATCGGTACGGTTCGCTTGCGAACTATAGGCCACGGAGTTGTTTGGTATGGTATTTATGTAATTGCCTTTTTTGTTGTTTAAATTATTTGAAGGTGCCCTTACGGGGCCCCATTGGTGTCCTGTTTCTAGTATACGTCGAGCGAGTTTTGAGAGTTCTTATTTGTTCTCATGTGATGGATATATTGCTGTACTTAGTTTCAGAGATGCTACTGCTTTTCCCCATTATTATCAAGATGTTCTTGGCATGGCCGTTGCTATACGATTATGCTGCTGTTACTAAATGCATTGGAAGCTAAGGCTTTATGTTTTAAGTTAGTTAGTTAGTTAGTTATTGGAGAGGGTGGGTTTCCCCATGCACTGAGACCTGTATTGGTCCATTGTGCTTCCCTCTATGATTTCTACCACTCTCTATATCCTACCGGTACTGGTGCTTACCATCAGTCCCGCCCAGCCAGCGAGACCGGCTCTACTAGCTGAGAGGTATCTATAATGGTATTAGAGATTGCTGTTGGGCGGGAAACGTCCGTTAATTTGGCTCAGTGACCTCCTTTGGAGATATGAGGTTCTTTTACGTGCCGTAAAGCTACGACACGGGACCCACGGCTTAAAGTCCCTCCCGGAGGACTTGTTCCCTGAATTTTTCGGCCCTTAAAAATTCGACGACCTCCGCCGGGTATTTGAACCCGCGTACTACAAGTCATGAGGTGGGAACGTTACCTCTAGACTACGGAGGCCGCTTATGTTTTAAGTTACTCCTTGTAGAATTAATAGCAAAGATGCCATATTTAATTTTGTATCCTTAAATAATCGGGAGACTGTTCGACTTTCTTTGTCGAAATAAGTGGAACTGGTCCATTTTTTGTTCTAATTTTGCAGTGAGGCCCTGGTTGTGTTATTTTTTTTTGGTTTAAATTTGGGGTTGGTGTTTACTATATCACGTAAATATAAATCATTTTTCACGTTTCCTTTGTGGTTATAATTTTTTATGACTATCTTTCTGAGTAGGACATTCACGTCCATATAAAATTCAGTCGTATCTGAATTAACTCATTTTTTCCACTTTTCATAGATTTTCATGATTTAACAAATTTACTACTTAAGAGTTCATTATTTTTGGTTCATATATGCTTGTTATCTGATGATCATTTTTGCGGTTGAATTTGTAACGTATATTTATAAATAAAATACCAAGAAAATTGTTTAACGTAAGTTTGTATGACGGTTAATATTAGGACTCAATAAGTCAAACAGAATGACCTCTTGTAAGAAAACATAATAGCTGTACACTATTAAATATTAAACTCAGTTGCAATGTCCACAGATATATAAATAAAACACTGGTTTTCATGTTCATTACTTAATTAGTGGGTGTTCCATAGCATTGCAGTTAGGTAAAGCGTCTAGTTAAGTGTTCTTTTTGCACTTACTACCCACAGATGAATTTGTAAAAGTAACACTAATAAGCACTAACACACATCGTGGAAGTTACTATGGAAGAAAACATTTGTATATACAAAATGTACATGACAAATCATACATTTTTCATGGCATGCTGTGTTATAAGTTACTAAGATTCAAAACAGCATTCTACGTAGCTAGAGTTATAAAATGGGAAGAGAATATGACAGAAGAATTTGGCGATAGGAATGTTTTAAGAAATCGCCAAGTCTTGTGTATAATGTTAAAAATAACGTAAACGCTGTGACATTTTCTTGGAGATCATGAAAATTTTAAAATGAACGCTTCGAGAGATAATTATACATCGTACTCAAATTGGACACTTTAATAAGAATAGGAAATAGAGATCACAAACATAATATCATTTTATGGGTTATTTTACGACATTACGAGTACCTATAATAAAAAGCGTAAAGTGATACAATGATTGACGAATGACGGATTAGCAAACCCTTGGAAGAAATCGGTGGCGGCCCCACTTGTTGGAGGGAGACAGAATAAAATCTGCTTACTGGTGTCGTTGAAGAGAACGACTCACACTTGAGGCACCACAAGTATTAGGGGAAGAAGAAAGAACACTAAAATCTTAAACGTGATATGCAATTACGCTAACGGTGAAGGAGAATTACATTTTAAGACATTTTAAGATGCACGTAAAACATTGACATAAAATCGCTTTCACAAATCTCCCTAGAATAAAACAAAATCAGTGTCGGTCTCTCTGGAGGATTTAACATGGATATATCTGCTTTGTGCCAGTATTAAGGGACTTGTTCCCTTACTTTTCATTCCACAGACGCCAGCTTTCTTACTTATCCTCAATATAATTTGCTTCTGAACACTGTCGACCTTTCTGTAAGACAACGTCATCCTAACCTTCCTCTTTCCCGTTAAGTCCGTGGTTTATTAACGTTCCACTGGAAACTGAACAGATAAAAGAATGTATGATTTGTAACGTGGGTTTGTTCATAATTGCTGCTGAGAGAACCTCAGGCCTACATACAGAGTAAAATTGGTCCTCCAGCTTGGGGGTTGGGCTTGGGGCTAACAACTAGTTTAGTAACACGGAGATTAACTGCAAAGCATTATGTAAAATTGTGCATTAATTGGCACAGTGTTACTGAACACACTGTAATATATACAGCACTATGTCAATGTCAATTTTAGGTATACAGAAAGAGTGAGTTATAACGTGCTTACATTACACACACTCAACTCCAAGAATCGTAAAGAAACGGATGCGGATGATATGCCCTAGTACGACTCATTATGAATGAATAGAATGGTCCATCATTTGTCACTCAAAAAGAAAAATTTATCGTGGAGATTCGGGTACCATACAGTCTATATGAAAGAACAGTTCGGAAGACGCTGCAAACAGTTCCGTATTTCATTTAAAAGTGTCTTGTAGTGTTTGGTTCTTCCGAATAAATAAACTCGGCAGTTTAATTTTAGAAAGGGAAAAACTTTCAGTTTTATATTACGTTTAAGAAGCCTGAATATTATTCAATGGCTTTCCCCAAAATATTCCTGAGCTGTTTAATTCTAATATGAATCTCCTGTTTTAATCAAGAATATTTATATCTTCTGTAAATCGTACATTTTTTAAAGTCTCTTAAATTTAAAGACAGACATTTTAACTTGATTTTAAGGTATCATTCAGGAATTTGAAATCTTAACCTGTGGCGTATCAACTGCTGGCAGCAGTACCACTCCGCATAAAGAGGGAAGTATTATATACGTTTCATAATTTCTGATTAAGTAACAAATTACGGATGCCTTATTATGCTTGGGGAATCATTCAGGCCACAGTTGAGAAGACGGTACATAAGTTTTCACAAAGTTAGTGGCCTTTAGTTTGGGACAAACACCGAAATATATATACTTTTGAGTTCCTCAAAATAAATGCTTATATTTACATGTTGCTCCAGATAATTCATCATTATTTAAATAGAGAGCTCTGGAATGGCAGAAGAGTCAGTAAGGCAATCAGGCAGCAGACAGGCAAGGCTCTTCTAGAGGTGTCAGTCTCGACGAAATGTAGGTAAATGGTAAGACGAGAGTTTTAAGAGCAGTCTATGGTTCTGAAACGTAAAAGCTGGGAGTACTTGCAAAGCGAGAGGTAAATTAGCAAGTATATTATCTTAAATTAGTTCTCATAACAAAACTAAATTCTTACCATAATTAATACTGCACATTATACAATAACAAATCTAAGAATACGTGGACGTAAGATATTTCGATTCCATTTAAACTAAATGGGTAAAGTTCCAAATAAGCAGGATACATTCTGTTATGAATGAAATAAAGCAAAAATATTACTTATTACTTTGTTATGATATAGGATAAAATTTCATACAATACAAGAAATTACAATTTAACCATTTCCTTTAAACATAATACTACCGCTACATGTTATCTCTATTACCTTCTGGTTTACCAGACACACAATATTTATTTTCTACCGAGCTTAATACATGTGTGTTTTGTACTATATTCCGTACATATCAGTGTGTAATGAACTCAAGTCTTCATTACGTACACAGCTGNGTCGGGGGGGGGGGGAAGTCATGACTCATAATTACTTATTCTGGGCTACCGGTAAAGTAAGCTGATTTTTCTACATGAGAAAATACTTTATTGGAGCAAAACGAAAAGTGAGTGGCCTGCTTCATAAGTCACACCAGTATCATAAAGTAGGTATAAAAATTGTGAATCTGGCAACCTCAATAATGTAAATGGCACACAATTAGATATGTCCTACTAACAATTACTTCGATTAGATTTATGCGAATTTCAAACCTTCAATTACAGGTTGAAGACAAAAACTAATTTGATAAACATTTGCATTATATAAGACGAATTAAAATCCATTAATGATAAAATCATATTTCGGTGCTTTTCTTAATTCATTGCAATATGAAAAGTTTCCTAAAAGAAGAGTAATTTTTGAATGATGAAAAATATTATATAGTTCAAATGTAGATTAGTGAGATATGAAGTATATAATATGTGCACATTTTAAATAGGAGGAATAAGAACACCTGCTGGTATATAATTATAATAATAATTTACAGGTATTCTTTACGTAGATCCTGATATCCATCCCACAGTTTGTTCCTTTGTTGTCTCCTGCTGCATGAAATCATTTACACGTACAGCGGCAGCAAAATTATTTTCCATGAGACGTCACATAAATGCTTTTATAGAATTTTAGACACAAAATTTTTTCGCATCGTTTTCATAATATAATATGTTCAATATTAAACACTCAACTTCTTTGAAAAATATAAGCAAATGTTCAACAAATTTACCAGTGCAGCAACAAGTTAAATTTACTACAATGTCCAAATTAACAAGTCTACTATTATGCAAATACTTTTCTTGGTACTGCAAAAATCGAACTGTGTAAATTAAAAGACACAATACCTCGTCACTGATAATGAGGCTAGGTCGCCTTTGTTGCTCTTCTGGAGGAATGAGGGAACCCCTTCGGCTGGAGGGCCCAGAGCCAGGAGCAAGCGATCCCTTCCTAGCATCTGCAGCAGGTGACTTCTCACGGCTCACCTCTATCTTGGGAGCTTCGGGGCCCTTGATTTCAGGTGCCTTGATCTCAGGCACTTTGATGCCGGGCTTCTTGGTCTTGTCAGCCTACACATGCCAAATATATCTCTAAAGTCAGGCCTCATTGCACACAATTGCCTTGTTCATGTAAAACGAATTCAGCTAGAAGGAATTCATTCCTCATAGTCAAATAATGTCACACACAAAACAAATTATAGATCTGTAATTAAATGAAAGCTATGCAATATATTGAATTATTTTCGAATATTTTCTAAACAAGTTGTGCTACACATTACTGATTGTAATACAATTTACTTATGCAACATCTGATATTCTGGCAGAAACTCACACATACACAACATTTAGCTAAATACAAGCAGTGGATATACACTAGGAAGTATAATATTAATTAAAGTTTAATTGTTTAAATGGCATAAATGAATAATACAAGAAATCTTCTTTTCTAATTGGCTGTAGAACGGCAACTGAAACCTTATCATGATGGTGTATATTTGACATGAGTGTTGAACCAATTCGTGAGGTTTTCTAAACCAGGTTACACAACTCCACACATTCTGTCGCCCACTTTTGGTCCACCATGAACACACTTTATACTATTTTCATTTCCGGCTCAACAGCAGTGGGCCAGCAGACTGCCAAACCGATTGAGAGAGCTGGATAGCTCACAGTAATATTTCAGATTCCACATTAACATGATAAAAGTGGAGGTAATTTAGTCTCTTGAATATATCCCAAAAAACAATTTGTCCTTCTTAATTTGGAGGCTAGAATGAAGGCAGGAAAGAAGAGGTTCTTTCATTGTTTGCCAACTTGCACAACCTCTCGAATAAGAGATGCGTAGGAAAACAGCTTCAGGGAAGTTGTAATGAAGTCCTAAAAATTCGGAACTATAAATACATTTCCGCTATATTTGATTTGGGCAAGGATATTAGGTTAAGAATTTGCCAAATGTCATAATAATTAAGACGTGGATGAAACTCAGGGTGAAAATATAATTATTATTAGAACCTGAGTGGCTCATTGTTATTATATTGCTAATGTATTTAGACACTTCATATATTTTGCATGTCAATGTAGGTATTTATGATTTATACGCGTTTATTGTTATTACGTTCCGTACTCCACAAATCTATTTCCATATATTAAAGCAAGTACGAACGTCACTAAGAAAATACAACAGGTGTCTCTTTTGAATGTATACTATAAATAAAGAAAAAGAAAATTAAACTGAAATAATTCCTTCCACCTCAATTAGGAGAAATAGCTATAGTGGAGACACTCCCACTCTGCGCCAAGAAGAAAGAAATGTTGCAAAGTATGGTTACTTCACAATACATACTCACAGAGAACCGCATTGGTTATACTCTGACATTTGATATATTAAAGTTGTTAAAATTAAAATAAATTATATAATAAATGAAACGTCACTAAATAGGGTATCAGATACGTAGAAATATATAATTATTAGAAATAACAAACAATTTAAAATTGAAAAGAAATATACGGAAATACATGGAGTTAAATTATGCAATAGACAACACTCTTCACACTCACTGAATTTTTTAATAATTCTAGTTCCCACATAGACTATCATGTTATGTTTTGAATATAGCAAATTTGGGTCTAATGTATTTATTAGAATAAATATGGCATACATAAAATTAGAAAAAAAAATCATCTTTACGTGAACTCATTTTCTGTTTTACCAAATCCCGCTGCTCCAGCAACAATATATCTTCACCCAACAGAACAAAGAAATGAAGGAAAAAGAATATATAATATAAATGACAATAAGAAATAATTTATATATAAAAGCCGCAGGCTTGCCAATCTGTCGCTACTCTGCTCTTTTCATATCGTGAGGTAGCAACAGGCACGAACAGGACCGGACGCGGAGTTAGAGTAACATATGCTTCCGTCGACATTGCGGTTTCGACTTTGCCCACTCAAAAATACTGCACTGGTTACAGCGTGCTTGTTCAGTGCAATCGTGGCTTAATATATAAGATTAGTCCCTATAACTGTCCGTCTTCGCATAACACAAAAACTTCTTTCTCAGTTATCTAGCAGACAAATTTCGGTTTACCAGCCATCTTGAATCCGAAGCACTAATACGCGCATATTCAGTGAATACCGATAAAACGTAGAATTATCCCGGTAACAGGCGGTGGAAGCTCATAGGGTTGTGAGACGTTGTGGCTCCCACATTTTCTAGACAATCGGTTCACAGATGGCGGTGAGGTTCTCAGTCTTACGCCTCTGCCGCCCTTTACCACCAGGAAGATTCCTGGTACTCATTTCTGTTAAAGGCTGGTTCGATCCCAGGGCCAAAGTGGGGCTGGAAATATTACGTCAAATGAAAAATTCAATGATCTCACCGGGGATCGAACACGCGAACTTCCGTCTTGTAGCACAGATTATTGTATTGTCAACCTTTGCCGAAAACATGTCTTCTAGTCAGAACCGCCTACTGAGTGTGGTTACTCTATCAAATTTGGTACCTTAGCATAAATATAGCTGCCTTACGAGAATCTTCCTAATAACTGAGGTGGTGTGCTTTTTATGAAGTGCATTCTTAAGGATTTGCAGTTGAAATTTTAGCGGTTTTGCTATTATGTTACAACTTGCTTTCAGCTACTAAACTCAACTACTATCTACACAATTATGTAGCAACAACCGCTAAGCCCACTGAGAACATATAACATTATGCAGAAGCAAAAAATAATAAATCGGCCTCTTGCATATTTCATAAGCTTGATTAATTGCTTTTCCTAAAATTACAAACATCTGTAGCAAAACTGGCAGGATGGATATTGTTAAGTGAAGGTACATACACGTATATCTATATAAGGCCATCAAGTAAACAAACACAACGTTGAGACGCAACAAACACAAGATACTGGACAAGACGTAGACAGAATCAATGTATCTACGCTGCCAGACAGATCACAGTTGCTACTGCGGGCAGAACAAATTAAAATAACCAAACGAATGGTGCTGCAGCTGTCGCCCGCTCACCTTAGGAACAAAATCCAACTCATTAACAGTATCATCTTCCTCGTATTCCTGGCCACTTTCCTCTTCCTTACTTTTAGTCACATGTTTTTCCTCCTTCATCAACTCCTCTTTTTCTTCTTCACTCTCCTCTTCAGAACTACTAGGCACATATGCCAATGGGTTGTATCTACGAATCTATATAGGCAACATATGTTATTGCTCGGGGAGTCCACACGTTTGTTAGGAAAGAATATGTACAAAGAAGAAATGCCACTTTTCATCAGGGTTCTTTGCGTTATATACATACAGTTTAAAAGTAACAGAGAATGTGGTGTGTATGTGACATGATTCATCACACTAAGGACCGTAGGGAATTGTTGGTAGACACTGTGGGGCCAAATTTACAAATTACATATTTTAGGTCGGGGAAGTAAGTACTCGTAATCATACAATTATTGAGATTTTGGAAATTATCCAGAGTCCTTTTTTTTATTTAAATCACTGATTCATTTTCCGTCCTCAGGTAAAAGCCTACTCGGCTGTCTCTATAGATTGGACCCAATTGACTAGGCTTTCACCTGAAAACGAAGGCAGAATCCAGTCTCTGAAACACTGTGTTTAAAAAAACGGGACAATGGATAATGTTCAAAGCTCAATATTTGGATTAATATTCGATCGTCACAAAATTTCAGATCTCAAGTAAGTACTCAGTTTATAAGAGTAGTTAAATAAGCTAAAGTAAATTGCTTCATGTGGAAGTGACTCTGTTAAAGAACGACAAAAATGTTCTTGTACGTTCTGCTTGAAATGAGTTAGTGGCTCTAGGACTCCTCTAAAAAAGGAAAGTAAATGTATCCCTGTAACAGGCCATTGAGGCCCATAGGGTTGTGAAATGCTGAGGTTCACACATTTTATAGACAATCGGCTCATAGATGGCGGTAAGGTTGCCAGCCTTACGCGCCGGCCGCGCTTTACTCCCCAGGAAAATTATTTATTTAATTCCTGGTACTCATTTCTGTTAGAGGCTGAGTAAACCCCAGGCTAGAAGGATCAGGTTAACTGAAAAAATTCCAATGACCTCATCGGGATTCGATCCCGCAACCTTCCGGCTTGTAGCATAATGCCTCAACCAACTACGCTACCCCTTCTAGGACTCCTCTAGGATAAAAAATTATATTAAAGGGGCAATAAAAACAATTCAGGTCATTGTAAATTGAACTAAGCACTGGTGTATATCTGTAACCTGCAACTTCAGAACAATGTTTTTGCACGTTTGAATTCGTATGTCTTTAAAAATTGTAATTTAATAGTACATCCCTGTAACTCTGAATTGATATGGCCCTATAAACTAGAACTGATGTGCCCTTTGAAATTATAACTTAGAGATTGTTTCTTTGTAACTTGAGCCTGATATTTTGGGACTTCGGATTAATGTTTCCTGGAAAGTATTAGTGTATTACATCACACGGGTAATTCATTTAATTCAATATTAATAAGAATCAACACATGTTACAGTAAAATTAATCAAGAAAAACAAACGGAGAAGTAACAACATATATCACATATCCGAAAATATTTACACGTGTCGCTGTGCGTTTGTCTCATTTTGTTACTAGAAAAGAAGTTTATTCGTGTTAGACTGACGTCTTTATTTAAATTTTTTTGGAGGACACTAAACAGATATCAACGCTTCAGAGACATCAAGAGGAGTGCCTTGGCATTCAAACCAATCGAATTTTGAGTGCCTGTACCGTATGTAATGTGCCTTTTACTTACCGGTTTCGGTGTTTCTTCTTGTGTAGTCAAGGAAGTCTTCTTCTCCTCAGCCTTTCGTGTCGACATGGAACGGAAAAGAAGGAAAAGACTGCCCATTAAAGTCAATGAACAAAGCATGGAACATTACTTTGCATCTGACACCAATAATAATACTAATTAAAATAATAATTACTTAATAACAACAAATCAGCTCTGTAGTTTCACGTGCTAACTCAACAGCTGAGGGTCAAAGACTGATAAATGGCTCTGGTAGGGTTCACTGATGCCCGTAGGAGCACATCATTAAGTACCAGAACGCCACTTGTTAAGTAGGGCTCCACCGGTAAATACAAGCCCCCCACCCCCTCATCGTGGTGAACCTTGGGCAACATTTTGGGGTAAGAGCACATATGTGGCAGACGGAGCGGGAAGAAAGGGGAGTGTTCGGAGCTTTCAAACGGGATTCTCTGGCTAAGGGAAGCAAAAGCCCTACAGAAAACCGAGTGTTCAAATGGCTCTTTAGACGTGGTGAAGCCAAACCCCTAAGGAAGTACACCCTGACAGAAAAGTGTTGGTAGTTAGGTTGTTGGGTTGGGTAGAGGCTAACAACCTCTCCCCAGAAAATATTACTTGTTCAGAAACTCAAGGGAGGCAAATGTTAAACTTAAAAGAATTATATAGCCAAAGAAGAAGAATAAGAACAACTCAACAACTAAAGAAGCCAATTATAAATTTGGCATAATCACATTAAAAAATGTACAAGAGAACATGCAGTCCAAATACACCCATATACCATATTCTACTGCATAGCAGATGCAGGACAAACATAACCCCGTACTAAAACTGAATGCAACTGAATGCAGAAAACAAATTAACCAAAATTTAATATTATAGAAATTATTGCCAAATTTATTGATGTTGTAATAGATTCTGTTCGCGGCTAAGGCAGAGGGAATATATTGCTGCCTCTTTCATGTTGATGTCGTGCTTGGCTTACTGTTCAGCCCTGAAGACGGAGGTGATATATTCCTCCGAAATGTCGGTTGACTTTTACCAAACAGCATGGCGTTATACCACATAAGACAGAACGTCTCGACTGTATTAGTTTTTCGGGCTGATTTTAACTGTGGTTAGGACCTGTTCTAGATCTCCGCCCCTGTCAGCTACATCCTTACAGGTAGCATGTGCTGTTACATATCTCCCACGGCTACCCTATAAACAGAATTCCAGAGGGTAGCTTTGGTAAGAGGAAAAGATAATATAACAAATTTCTGTCACCCACTGGTATTTACTCCCTATTCGGACCCCACGGATGGGCAGAGCCAGGAAAATGCCCCTTTAACTAACCCTTTCATGTCTAAAATGGCGACTTCAAATAATCAAAACATATGTCTTTAAAGTATTTCTAATATATATGAAATTGTAACATAAACAGTAAATAAATCTGAAATTTCTTGGACTCCCAATTCTCCTAATCGCTAAGATAATTTAGTCTGGCTGTAATAGCACAACATTTGTACTGAATTGGAACCTATCTCCCTCATGATAGCAGTAACATGATCCACAACAATGCTGACGATAAACTTCATTGGCTTTGTTATATCCATGAAGGAAGCATGTCGGGCTACTGCATAGAAGATTTCGCTAGACTAACTGGCCTTATCCCCCCCCCCGATTACTAATTGCCCTCTCCTTCGTCTGTCCTCGCAGAGATTTTCCAAAGTATTTATGACATTTCGTTACATCACATTTGAATCACCATTACATCCCAACCTTGGTTAGACCATGCCAACTGCCTTCTCTTTCGTTCCTTTCTACTGCATGCAACAGGTACTATAACCTGAGTAACGCGTCTAAATCAACAGATATCTATCTCTTGTGTCGTCTTCCTTTAAGACCTGTGCTTGCGTTAGTGGAGCAAGTTTCTGCGCTTAATGCTTCTTTAATTATAAACAAAAAATAAAAGTGTGTTTAATTTTAAGGACACGTACTAATCANGTGAAACAAAATTACCTTTATTTCCACAGCTTTCTTCTGAACCGACATCCTCCTTTCTCCGTCCACTGTAACTTCTTCAGTCTGTAAAACAGAAAGATAGTCTCGTATGAGCAGTTTCGTGCGTCTTGAGAAGATCAATGTGAAATAATTTTGTTCAATTAAAAGGAAAGAGACATGCGGTGCATCTGAGCATGACCACAAAAACCAAACCCCTTTCAGGTTACAGGGAACCATTCATTTTAGAGATTTTCGGACTACATTCAAAAGCAGAAATACTAGAAAAACCTGAACTTCAGTAATTTTTAGATTTTACTCCTGTATATGCACCAATGGTTAAAGTACAGAAGAAATTAATTATTCATAAATTGTAGAACTTCATGTTTTAAGGTGAGTCGGGATAGCGCAGTCAGTACAGCGACTAGCTACTGGCTGGACGACCGAGGGGTCGGAGTTTGAGTCCCGGTGGGGTCAAGAATTTTCACTTCTCCATGTCGTCCAGACCGGCTCTGGGGTCCACCCAACCTTCTATCCAGCGGGTAACTGGGGCTCTTTCCTCGGGGGTAAAGTGACCGGAACGTGAATCTGACCACTGACCTCCCACTAATGCCGAGGTCAAGGAAGCCTTTGTCTATACATCCACTCCCCTATACACCTTCCTGGCGTGGTGCTTACTTAGATAGATACAAGGAAATTTACCTGTTATCAGCTTTTAAGAACAGTGGTCTTCTGGGATATAACGCCGTGTAGTCCCTTGAAAGTCAACTGATGCTTCGGAGGAACATGTCGCTTTCATCTTCAGATTCGAAGAATTAGGAGAATATGCTTGTGACCTGCTCCACGTTGGTTCCTTTCTTGTCTTATTCTTAGACCCTGAAGATGGGAAGAGACATGTTCTTCCGAAACGGAGGTTGACCTTCAACGGACTAATATCCTTTCATATATTATTTTCAGCGTATTCTTTCTGCCTAATTATGATCCTGATTCATGTATCTTCTTGCGATATGAATTACAATTAATATTGTACATGACATTTTGATAGTGATAAGGAACACAATTAAAAACATGTCCTTAAAGAGTACGTGGGTTTAATGAGTTCTTTCGTTACACATCGGTTATTACTTTTTTTTCAGAAAAGGATGTTTTTAGTTTTAGTTCGTATAAAATAACTGTACCTTTTGTGCTGAAACCTTCAGTTCCTGAACTTTCTTTTCTTCCTCTTGTTGCACAATCTGAACAGAGAGAAAATGGTAATAGAAACCAATTTAATAACACGACACTGCCTTCTTAATAATAATTACACAATTATTACTAAATTCACTACAAGGTCTGCACGTTATTTTTCAACAATTCTCGGTTGGAAAAGTAAGATATCTATTGCTATTATAATAATACAAGAAATTAAACTGTAAGAGAAATATATTGCTTAGAATATTATGTTTCGTGTTGTGCAAAAGCAGCTCGTGTTCATCTGAACGGGTGAAACCAAGAATGAATAAAATATACTCCCCTCCCAGATGTCTAGAAATGAGAGACTAGAAAAAAATAATCTTATTAGTTAAGTGTTTAGGTTTTAAGGCCTAATTTTTTGTTACATGGCACCCCCACTTATGTTTTTAGCAACTGTAGATTCATATTGTGCTGACAAAGAAATTTTAAACGAAGGGGCTACACCCCCTGTGTCCTGCGATAGAACACATTACTCCTCTTGACAGAAATTGCAATAGCTCTTGGGTCGGTGACGGATTCGGAACTATACCGACAGAGCGACCGCCGCTTGTCGGTGAATTTTAGTGCAAGGAACTTTCACATAAAATTGGGCTAGAGCCCTTGAGGCAAGATCTTCCATGCACTTCATGCAACATGAGAAAANACTATAACCTGAGTAACGCGTCTAAATCAACAGATATCTATCTCTTGTGTCGTCTTCCTTTAAGACCTGTGCTTGCGTTAGTGGAGCAAGTTTCTGCGCTTAATGCTTCTTTAATTATAAACAAAAAATAAAAGTGTGTTTAATTTTAAGGACACGTACTAATCATTTTGTGATGAAGCATTCAGAATAATTGCAGTCTAGTATGTAAGCAAAGTTTGGAGCACCATTTTTGGCTCAAAAATAAAATATACAACTCATTTTAAAGTGTATTTTTAAGGGGGAGGGGGCTTCAATACACAGGAGAAAAACGCTTTTATACCTGTTAAAACATTTTCACTGCCAATAAATATGTTCTGAAGGGCCTTTAAGTTCACAAAAACTTTACCCTGCATAAAAACATATAGGCTTGGTTTGGTTTTACACAGCAATTGAGACAATATCTTGAAGGTCTTTGGAGTGTGAAACAAAATTACCTTTATTTCCACAGCTTTCTTCTGAACCGACATCCTCCTTTCTCCGTCCACTGTAACTTCTTCAGTCTGTAAAACAGAAAGATAGTCTCGTATGAGCAGTTTCGTGCGTCTTGAGAAGATCAATGTGAAATAATTTTGTTCAATTAAAAGGAAAGAGACATGCGGTGCATCTGAGCATGACCACAAAAACCAAACCCCTTTCAGGTTACAGGGAACCATTCATTTTAGAGATTTTCGGACTACATTCAAAAGCAGAAATACTAGAAAAACCTGAACTTCAGTAATTTTTAGATTTTACTCCTGTATATGCACCAATGGTTAAAGTACAGAAGAAATTAATTATTCATAAATTGTAGAACTTCATGTTTTAAGGTGAGTCGGGATAGCGCAGTCAGTACAGCGACTAGCTACTGGCTGGACGACCGAGGGGTCGGAGTTTGAGTCCCGGTGGGGTCAAGAATTTTCACTTCTCCATGTCGTCCAGACCGGCTCTGGGGTCCACCCAACCTTCTATCCAGCGGGTAACTGGGGCTCTTTCCTCGGGGGTAAAGTGACCGGAACGTGAATCTGACCACTGACCTCTCACTAATGCCGAGGTCAAGGAAGCCTTTGTCTATACATCCACTCCGCTATACACCTTCCTGGTGTGGTGCTTACTTAGTTAGATACAAGGAAATTTACCTGTTATCAGCTTTTAAGAACAGTGGTCTTCTGGGATATAACGCCGTGTAGTCCCTTGAAAGTCAACTGATGCTTCGGAGGAACATGTCGCTTTCATCTTCAGATTCGAAGAATTAGGAGAATATGCTTGTGACCTGCTCCACGTTGGTTCCTTTCTTGTCTTATTCTTAGACCCTGAAGATGGGAAGAGACATGTTCTTCCGAAACGGAGGTTGACCTTCAACGGACTAATATCCTTTCATATATTATTTTCAGCGTATTCTTTCTGCCTAATTATGATCCTGATTCATGTATCTTCTTGCGATATGAATTACAATTAATATTGTACATGACATTTTGATAGTGATAAGGAACACAATTAAAAACATGTCCTTAAAGAGTACGTGGGTTTAATGAGTTCTTTCGTTACACATCGGTTATTACTTTTTTTTCAGAAAAGGATGTTTTTAGTTTTAGTTCGTATAAAATAACTGTACCTTTTGTGCTGAAACCTTCAGTTCCTGAACTTTCTTTTCTTCCTCTTGTTGCACAATCTGAACAGAGAGAAAATGGTAATAGAAACCAATTTAATAACACGACACTGCCTTCTTAATAATAATTACACAATTATTACTAAATTCACTACAAGGTCTGCACGTTATTTTTCAACAATTCTCGGTTGGAAAAGTAAGATATCTATTGCTATTATAATAATACAAGAAATTAAACTGTAAGAGAAATATATTGCTTAGAATATTATGTTTCGTGTTGTGCAAAAGCAGCTCGTGTTCATCTGAACGGGTGAAACCAAGAATGAATAAAATATACTCCCCTCCCAGATGTCTAGAAATGAGAGACTAGAAAAAAATAATCTTATTAGTTAAGTGTTTAGGTTTTAAGGCCTAATTTTTTGTTACATGGCACCCCCACTTATGTTTTTAGCAACTGTAGATTCATATTGTGCTGACAAAGAAATTTTAAACGAAGGGGCTACACCCCCTGTGTCCTGCGATAGAACACATTACTCCTCTTGACAGAAATTGCAATAGCTCTTGGGTCGGTGACGGATTCGGAACTATACCGACAGAGCGACCGCCGCTTGTCGGTGAATTTTAGTGCAAGGAACTTTCACATAAAATTGGGCTAGAGCCCTTGAGGCAAGATCTTCCATGCACTTCATGCAACATGAGAAAATTATGTTCTTTAAAACTGTCTTGTGCCATACCAAATGCAAACAAATTAGAAATTTATTAAATAACATTTTACAGAGTGAAGGGTCAAAAACTGGTGGGAATTGGTCCCTCAAGCTCTTAGTTGCGTCTAGATATATGCCATATTAATATCATAATATGTTATTTAATTCATATACATTTCAATTTAAAAGTTCGGCATAACGAGTTTTGCAGTAGACAGCTCCTTCACATGTATTTCTACATCCAGTCACTCTAAACGCTACTACTGCTACTGCTACTGCTACTACTACTACTACTACTACTACTAATAATAATAATAATAATAATAATAATAATAAGGTAAACTTGTCCCTGTACTTAACTAATTAAGCACTACGCCATGAAGGCGTGTGGTGGAATGGATGTATAGATCCATATTTTCTTGATCTCGGCACTAGTTGGAGGTGAGTGGTCAGCTTCACGCCCCGGCCGCTTTACTTCCTGGGAAAGAGCCCCCGGTATCAATTGGAAAGGGGGCTGGATGGGCTCCAGATCCTACCGGGACTCGAATTCCGAACCCTCCGTCGTCCAGCCCGTAGCCAGTCGCTATACCGTCTACTCTATGCTGGTTCCCAGATACTAATACTAATATTAATACTCTTTTTATTTCTGAATTCATACTTTCTTATGACCCAATCTTAATATTGTGTTTTGTTTTGATCCCCATTTTACGTACAAGTGACTGTGAATAGATACTGTCAATGTTTTGAATCGATTAATTTGAACAATTTATTACGCTCAGCCATTTACTTACTTACTTACTCATGGAGCTAAGCCCTTCCTGAGGAGCCGCCAATTCTGCAGCTACTCAAGAATTTCCCAGCACTTTATGGAACCCGAAGGTTCATCAACGTGTTCACAAGAACAATCCACTAAATTCTTTCCTCCCTTTCTTTGTTTCAGAACATTTTAACAGTACATGTTCAGCATCCTTCTCTACCCGAAACACGTGGCATCCATCCTTCTGAACACCGTTTACAGTTGAAAATAATTTCCCAGTTCTTTCTTCAAGCCATACTATCCTATTTCTCTCAATAATGAAAGTAGACCTATTTCTAGTTGCATTATCTCTATTCGTTTCATAACAGAATAACGAAACATCATTTCATTTACATTCAAAAACATGTTCTGCCTTTGTGTGTCGTTAGGTCTCTTCCTAATGCATGGACAATACCCAGAAACATAATACTTGTATTAATGTACCATCATACAAAAATGCCTAGCAAAATGGGTAGTTCCTTCTCTAGCTCCACTATTCCGTCTTTTAGGCCGTTTATCAAGCTGTTGCCTGACAGTGGACGCTTGACTCTGATTCCACTATTGCGGCTTTTAGGTGACATTTCACAATATACTTATACATAAAATGTCCCCTAATTTTGTCAGAACAACACTTTTTTTTTAAAAGAAATTTGCTTGCATACCTTTTCATCAGTTTTGACTATAGATGACTTCCTTCGTGTTTCAGTTTTCGCCTCGGTTACCTGTACATAAAAAAGTAACCCATTAAAACAATTGAAAAAATTTACTGACATTTATTCAGTTCCCTTATGATAATCCGTACGCACCGTGCAGCTGAAATAAATGAACGCATAATTTATTACAACATATTTCATTTCCAATTTCACTATCATAACATAACCCATAAATACCTTGGTGTGCATAATGTAAGCATACAAAATAAGGAACGTTAATATACACAGAAAGGAGAAAAGTATAGAAGAAAAGAATTCTCTTCGACTTTTCATGAAACAGAACAATCAGACACATTCACATTCGAATATTTAAAGAGCAATATATTATACCTCAAAAAGTCTCTAGTAGTGTAAACTTCATGGTTAAAATTGTTCTTCTATTGGCTGTAGATTCAGTAATAGCATATGATAATGCATATATTTAAACAGAATTGCGAGATAGAAGTTAGCTTTCGTTCCACTAAGCATCATGCGACCAACTTAGACTGAAATATATTTCCTGCCAATACGAATTAAATCCAGAATATTTTAATTGAGTTATATACATGCACAGATCTTCATTTTCCTTTTAAATGGAAAACTATATAGGAGAGAACATTCTCCCTAAAATATAGCTCGTTATATCAAATAGTAATGAATAAACAAAAGAAATTAAGGTAACGTTAAAAAATCTCGAAATTGTCTGTTTTAATGTAGGTTGCAAGCGATTTCAGAACTCCTCACATAAAATGCATATTTTATTTTCAAATAGTAAAAAAAAAAAAAAAAATCTTAAGAATTCATCAATGTACCCCATAAAGACCCACGTCTGTTTAACGTTCATTCAATTCGGATTGAAGTCTGGTTCACTATTATGAAAAGTAGTTCTCTATGCAATCATACAGTGAGGAGACTAAGCACAATTATTTCGAGTCTATATCTTTGGATTTGCTATCTAGAAATTGGATTAATTCTGCAAGTCAGTATTATGGATTCATTGACTTCTCAGTAATTTTGGAGGCTCAAATGATTTTTAAATCTTCAGAATTGAAAGTAGGACTTCACATGATTTTCTCCTTCAGGAATATTTTTAAAGTTCAATGTATGAAGCGTTTCTTGCTGGTCTGGGTATTTCAACTTATTTCACTTTAAAACAAAAAGAGTTAAGTAATATTAAGTATAATTAATATATTTCTCTCCGAGAGATATTCACAATTTTTGCAGTGGACAGGTTAAGGCATAGCTTAATGTTTCATAAATGACATTAATGCATAATTCATGAAAAGTCTATGACCAGACACTCAAGCATAAATTGATAAAATTAATCTAATGGAAATTACGCTTACAATTTAAATAATCAAGTCTTGATTTTAAAATTTACTGTGGAATTACAGATACCGAAATTACTGTAATGGTATTTTATAGTCAAATTTATATGAAATAAAAAATTGTAATTAGAGAAAATCATATAAATAATTTTATTTTGCTCAAACTTCTTTTTCAAGCATTATTCCATGCTCTACGATTTTCATCGCCCGAAGAATGTTGTGTAAGACTCGAATACAAAAACAAAAAGATTAACCCAAACTAGACGTTTCAAGAATAGTTAACATGCCACATTTAAGATGACATGAAATGCCAAAATCCCGCAACATAGCACTGGATATTGTTACTTATATTTTCATTTCCGGTAATTTGAGAGTAATCAATAAAAAATTAACAGGAAGTAATGGTGTCTACTACAAATTTATGTACATTGCTTGTTCATGTATCAGTATTTACTTATCCCTCACATTTAAGAATACCCCAAAAATATATGTAGAAGCAATCATTGAAATATAAAAGCATTAGACATAAACATAAAGAAACCTTAAAGGGAAGATGGCTAATTCAAACGTAGAAGACGGCGAAGAATGTAAAGAAATGCATAATTAGTACATCGTAATAGAGAAGTGTTAAACTACTGAAGATACTCAAAACTTGCATTCAAAGAAGAATGTTAAAAAAGATGCAGAAGACCATCTTGATATTACATGAAAATGAATAACCCTTCTTCACGATCACGAGATTATTTGCAGTATGACACAAATATCAGAATTGCCAACAACCACTTAAAACTGAAATATAGAGATTATAACCTTAGGTCATGCTGGAAGGAAAGCAGAAATGGAAAATACAGCACATATTTGAATCCTCTAGTAATTCACTGCTTAGATAGGTCAGATTACGGAAAATAATGAAATATGTTGAATTTAAACATCAACCAATTCTGTAACTCTCGTTCTTCATACTGCATAGTTCAAAGATATTTGTTTCGAAGTGATTTCCTGTCACCAAGGTTAAATTAGCTAAGTTCAAGCAATATTGCATGATCACAAGGTAAACAAATGAGACAAAACAACCCTTCTGCCTGCGGAATATTGGAAGAACTCACAAATACAAATATGTCGTCTTGGTAAAATTATTTTACCTACTTCATTTGCCGACAGTATGAAAGGATTGCAAATGAAACTGCCAAAGAAAGTGCTGTTAGAAGAATGAAATGACTTTACAGCAAAACCAGACACATGTGTTGTGAAGATATCTGGAACCCAATTATCATACCTTGTCACCACTTTCCAATTCAATGGATGGTCTCTTGCTGTCTTTCTTCGCTCCATTTTTCAGCTAAAAGTAAAAATATTTTTTATTATGGCCACTGCATCCATATGAAGAAATTTACCACACTGATACGCCTTCGTTCTGCTTACTTTTAATTACAAAAAAAATTATAAAGCCTTTCACAATATATTGTGGCTTGTCAGTTGCATACATATCCATTTTGTTCAATATACGTATTTAATACCAGAACTTACAAAACAATGTATTTAGTTTTACTTTTAATAGTATGCAATTATACTAAATACAATAGAGAAAAAAATTAAAATTTTATTCTAAATTGAGAGATAACTTATGTTATAAAAGGACAACTTGACGTGAATTAAGAAAGACACAAGCAGAAGAAACACAACTAGAATTGATGACAGAGAAATAGAACAGAACCACCAGTGATTAAGAAAACAGTATATTCAGTTGCAGAAGACAGAGCAGGACAATCGTGGAAGTAGTAAGTGAAGAATATATAGAATAACTGAAGAACTCTTTTCCAGTAGAAATGCTGAAAGATTCGCATAAGACAATGAAAAAGCAGCACGAAGTGCTAAAAACTCGTTATTTTGACAAGCAGAATGAAGACTGAGCGGGGCCTTAGCATAGGTTTCAAAATACAAACTTCCAAGTGTTATGCACACTTTATTCCATCCCTGAGGTTTGGGATTCTCGCCCAGATGAGTATTAAGATGGCGGTTTTATGGAATGTGTTGCCGTGTAGTTTGGTTGATAGTACTGTCACATGATATGTGCCTATAGAAGGGGTTTGGAATAGTAATGGGATTTACTGGGCACTTTAACACACAACTCGTGACTACATTTTACAGAGCACTATCACACAGACTAGCGTTCTCATTCACGGTCATCAGTGCGCTGCTTGGTAACGTCTTCCAGCAGAAGACATTCCTCTGATTCCGAGGTCACGTCCTCGCAGGCTGGCGACCATCTCACACCCACCTCCTGCTCTTCTAACTGCAGTCTCAAGACTCTCCGGTAATGGCAACAGGCCTTCGTTATATAGCCTCGGTAGGGACCGGACAGAAAATACCGCTTCCAACAGTTACTCCATTGTTGAGTGTCACACAGCCGTTACCTTGCAATGGCTGTTTCTCTGTTTCCACTGTTCTTTCTTTGAGCAAGTATACTGTAATACCAAGTACACGGCGTCACATCCACGAAAACCGTAACCTTATCTATTTCTTCTTTACGGTTGTTCGTACATATGTACATGTGTGTAAAAATGTTGCAGCGTTATTTCCATGCATATTTGTTTGTGAATCATCACATCTGCAAACAGCGGAATTGAGACACCCTTAGAAGCATGGATATTTGCAGAAATAGACTTTGAAGAACATATTTAATTAAATAAAAATGCGATTGCTAGTGAACAGAACTGACTGTAATGTTAAATTAGGACATGTAAAAGTATAATGTAATGAAATGGTATTTACTTTTGCGAAGGAAAAACATCCTATATTTAGATAGTCCTACAGAAATCCGCAGCAAATCAAGTAGGTCATACATAAATTTATTATTTAAATTTCTTTATTATTAAATTATTATTAAATTTATTATTACTGTGATATTTGCATTACATGCGTAATTTATAGGTCCTTTGTCACATTCGCAGAATTATCTAGCATGTACAGGAAGTATGACATTCTATCTAATTGTTCCCGTTCGTTCTCAAAGACATTTTGGAGACATATCTTCTCAAAGAGCGAAGTCGGCGAATTCCGTTGTTGCGGTACCGTGCATGATATTGGAAATGTTCCAGTTCTCTCCATAAATTTTGCTCAAATTTGATGAAATCGAATATTGATATTTGTATGTAATACCCGAATTATGCCTCCAGTAATAAGCCTGAGGGCAGTATAATGTTAAGATCACTAACAAATACTCGTACAATTTGTTTTCAAATGCGGCTAGCAATGTTAAAAAAAACAGAACCCTCGTTTTTGACACTTGTATACAAACACGCATAGAGCTAGTTAATTTCTAAATCATGTTGTCCAGGTGAGAGATCGCCTAATTTTGAAATATGTATATGGACTCTAAATTTAGGATATCGGCAACATAAATAAATAAAATACAACAAAATGCACATTAACTTCTGAGCCACGATCTTCATAACGTCCATATAACTCATCATTTTTCTCAGATTTTTCTTGAAATTGAGGATGCCTGATTTATATAAACATGTATATTATATAAACCCTATTTTATATTTCTAGAATCATCGAATAGTTTGGAGTACTGTCATTTACACCGCCATAACAATATAGGAGCTAGACAAATTTTGAAACCTGAATTTAGCTTTCATTGTGACATATCTGTCACTGTAAAGATTAGTTTGTGTTAATTGGTTTTAAAAAGAAAATGATATTAAGAGTATGGCACGGGTATCAAATGTGTTTTTCACGTGATATTAATTACCGGATATTTTCACTGAAATTATATTTTAAGAAAGCAGTAGCAAATAATATATACAGCTAATCATTATTAATACATATAAAACATGTTAAGATTATCTTATGAAACTTTAGATGTATACCAGTCGTGTATGTAGAAGATTTAGAGAAAATGCATAATATATAATAAATCAGATTACCGGAATTCGGTTTCACTAAAACGTTAAATGTAAATTTGACTGGTAACTTGTCAAGATTTTTCAAGAACATATGGATTTAGCTTCTTTTTGAAAATAAAAATGGTAATTTTGCATAATCTTGATGGCAACTATGATGAGCCTACGAAGTTTATTCATTCGCATTATGTCAACAATGAATATATGAATTCTTCGCATTTCCTTGTGTAGCTTTGGAAATAATTCTTACCGTAATATCCTGTATATAAAATGAGAGCTACGTCGAACATTTTCTTGAGTTAATACACCTCCTGTTTCTTCCATCCAAATAAAAAACATAATGTAGATTCTAAAGGGTACTGACGATTGTGTGTAACACACAGAATTATTGGGTTTTTAGAATTTACCCATCATCCTGTATTCTATAAAATAGAAAACACGATGTTTAGGAAGCTGAATCTGTTTCCGTCTTCAGGTGGGGGGGGGGAAGGCACTTACACAGTTGAGCCCCTTAGAAAGAGCTAATCTCCAGTGATTGAGATTTGCTCTTTCTAAGGGGAACAAATGAGTACCTGTCTTCCCCCTCCTCATCTCAGGACGGAAACAGACCCATTTTCCGAAATGTCATGTTTTCTATTTTCTAGACAACCGGACGATGAAAAAACCCCCAAAACCCAGTGATTCTGTGATAAACTTAAGGATCAACAATAAAAGAATCTTTAGAATATAGAACTTTGAATTTTGAAAACTCATTCAACCGAAGTCTTGACACTTATTAAATGCATCCAATCATACTCCATCAAACGATAGAAACGCGTTTTATAGAACCACGTGTTAAATTTTTAAATAAGTAATAAGTCTGACATTCCGAAGAAAGTGCATGCCATAAGGATATTTTAAAATGAATAGTGAAAGAAGAACAGTCACTTTCAATTAAAATTTTGGTAGAGATAAAATTAATATACACTCAAAAATTTATAGACTGGGGCGCTATTTACAATTTTAGTCAGGTGCATTATTCAGGTCCCTTTAATTAATGCACTTCCTACCTTCCCGTCATTAGTTTTCTCCGGGACTGGGCTTCTAGATTCAGTGTCTCTTTCCACAGGCTTCAGCTGAACCATGTGGAAGGGTACATCTGTCACTTTCATCCTCGGTATGCGTTTTTGTTGTGAATCTGCTGTGTTACATGTACCTGTAACTTGTCCTGGTTTCAAGTCTCCTTTTTGTTCCGAATTGGGTTCTTTTATGTTCTGTTTGTCAGTGTCGTGTTTCTCTGTTCTTTCCAATTCCAGAACTCCTGTTTCTTCATTTTTGACATTACTTTCCTGTTCTTTTACCTGATCTAATTCGATGTTAGAATCCAATTCTTCTTTATTCTGAAGTGTAACAGAAGTATATACTTGGAAGGACATAACACAGCATTCTTCTACCCACAAAATTTGGTGATAAATAATATTATAATTTTCGTCAGCTGCTCTATATAAATTTATTCCTCCTTTCACTAAGCGACACTAACCAGACGACATTTCACTGTTGAATGTTGTGTTGAGTCCTTCAGAAAACTGACAAACACAACATATTCACTTTACTCACTATTAAATTGTTCCAATAACGATGAGGCATTTGAGGTTATCACCAGTATTTCGTGAATAGAGTTTAAAATGAATTCCCTATATAATTGTCATAGTAAAATAATAACCACAACAATGGATGTATATTTGTGACACCACGTAAATAAACTGAGATATATTAAGAAAAATGAAAACAATACTTATAATTTAAGAACGGGGTACTTTTTCATAATTATATATATATATATATTGGCAGAATATTTTAAGAGAATGACAGATATGGCCTTACGAAATTTGTAAAATGAAAGTGCCTTATGAAATTTGTAAAATGAAGGTGCCACAGTTCTTATATACAGGACGCCTTCAGAGAAAAGCATATCTAAGAAGTGAAACACTACTTGTAGCAAAATCCAATTGTAGAATGAAGTGATTCCATTGATGATTATGTAAATGCTGTGCCTATTTGAATTTATTAATTTGCGTGAGGGTATAAATTTTAATTTTGCAAAATACCAAATGCCGGCATGAATGAAGCAGCAAAAAATGAATTGAATGTTTTTAACAAAGCGGAAGAAATATTTTGTTTCAGTCTTTTTACAGAAACAGACTGCAATCGACGTTTTCTGCGGACAAACTCATTTTTTTCCGACAGTCGTTCAATATTCTGATAGCAATTTATAATCATCCTCTGAAAAGACGTAATGTGCAACTCGGTAGGTTTCCATACAATTTCGTCACGAGTCTTAATAGTATTTGTAGTCGACTATCCATAAAGTAAGTTCTCAAGGCGACATGACACCTGAAATGACTACAAATTCCACATAATTCTTGCCAAAATATGTTAAAACCGCATTCATGAACTCTCTTATATTGATTGCGAAGCAAATTCATAATTAGATAATATTTGCATCTTAATGCATTACGTTATTAAAATAACTAATAATGTTGACTTAATTATTTAACAAAACGTAACACAATTTTAGAAAGACAAGGATTGATATATATTTATACAGAAGCAATAATTCGTATCATTGACATTAAGATTCCTTATTACATTTATAAATTTATCAGTTCCCGAAAAGTAAACTTCTTTCACTAATTCTCTAAGGTTAAATTTATTTAGCACATTCTGAAACTGGAAAGTGCATCAACACATTCTGATTTTGGATTATATACATCTTCTTTCCACCTCTTGAAAATATGTAGAACGAAAACAAAATATTGCAGTGCAACACTTTCCTAGGACAATTGGCAACTTAAATAAAAATGATGGATAATACGAGAAGAGTGCATTTAAGAATGACTTTATGTGCGTTATATAAGCACTGAATGCATGTATGAATGAACAATGAATATTTATAATGTCCATTATAATCTACATTTTGGAGTATCGGCGTTTGATTCCCTTTAGAGAAATGTTTCTCATTAAGACTGCAGTATTCTCGTTAAGTATTTTAAGTTTCACTTTAGTAATATAACATTAATACCTTCCGTCATATTAGGTATAAAATTATGCACAATTATGTATAGCAGAACTGTAAACATTAAATTTTCTTTTTGATCTCTGTTTTAATTCCTCAATATCTACACCCTTGCCCTATTAACTGTCTTGACGCAAACTGTAGGAATAAAGAGATATTTCAGTGCAGTGTATTCTTATGACAGCAGAAGTGTGTATAATGTAATTCCAAGAAAGTAACATGTAATGTTAGAAGAATAGGTCTATCCGTGAGAAAAGTTTAGTATTAAGAAAACATTAATACATTATCAGAAATTATACAGATTGCAGCATTTATATCTGACACATTTGTAATTGTTGTGGTTGGGTGAGATATCACGTAATGTTGTGGAATTTTGCATGTGACGCCGTACAGTTTTGAAGGATGGAGCATTATGAAGTGAGGAAGGGAACGGCTCTGGTGGAGCTTTAATGTAAAGAAGCCCTCATTTCTACAAATATTTTCAGGCAGAAGAATCCCTTGACGGAACAGCATTTTGTTCTTTGCTGGGAAAGTTTATAACAAATGGAGTGTTCGGCTAGCTCGGCACGCTTTACGGCCTACAAGTAGGACGGTGGAAACAGCGGGAACTGTTGCTGCAACCACCGCGAGAAATCCGCCAAACTCAATCCGTCGCGTGGCATCGCAAAGCGGTGCCAGAGCACGGAGTGTACAGAGCCTACTCCTTAAAGATCCGCACTTATGGCCCTGCCAGATACAGAATGTGTAATCCTGACACTGGGAAACGACACGATTTCTGTTTGTGGTTGCATCTCAAGTGTGACAAAGACGACAAATTCTTTAATGATGTCAACATGATTCATGAGATACACTTCAATCTGGCTGATGACTTTACCAAACATAATAGCATGTTTTCGGCGGAGGGTAATCACAGAAAATTATAAGAACGGGGACTCGATCTAGACAAACTGGTGATGTTGTGTCTTGTACTTGGTCGGATTTTGCGCGTCAGCTCTGAATGCTACCGCCACATGTTGGAGCACGTTTTTCTTCCTGAACTGTGTTGGAAGAAGCGTGCTCTGAAAAAGATGGCGTCACGTGCCACACTCCAAGAAATGCGAGTATACTGCAGATTCCGAGACAACATTTCGAAGACAGACAAATTTCTCGGTTTGGTCCCGCACTGTCTTGTTGGAGCTACGGACGAGCGGTGCTCACAAGACCCGTCCTGCATGCGTCCATGAACTGATGTCGAATATCACTGAAACAGTCCGCACTATTATTCAAGATAATACTAACAAATGGCATACCCGTATTGGGAACGCAATTCTGCGCGATGTGGTTTTAAGAAAAAGCCTTTGTCATATCAAAATGTATTCTCTGGTGTTTGTGCTTTCCATCCACGGACTATACATAGTGTTTACATTGGCCGCACCATAGCTCAAGCGATTAATCAATGGCTTCCCACCACGGCGGCCCGGGTTCGATCCCGGGTCTTGTCAAGTGGGATTTGTGGTGGACAAAGTGGCGCTGGGGAGGGTTTTCTCCGAGTACTTCGGTTTTACCTGCCAATCTTCATTCAATTAAATTCTCCATCATCATAATCACCCGGAGCAGGCTACAATAGGCCAATCAGTGGCCGCCGTGCCGAATGGACCCAGTTGGACTCCACCCCCCACTAAGCGAATTAAAAAAAATAGTGTTTACATTGTTAAGTAAATTTTACAGTTCTACTAACTTTGTCAGATATGAATGCTATATCCTGTATAAAAGGATAACATATATATGCGAAAATTTAAATACACAGTTACCTTTTCTGGCTCTGCCTTCGGTTTTATACTATCTGTATCCGCCTTCTTCTCAACAGTCTTGAAGCACGTAATAAGAGAAGAGAAAATACATTTCAGTGTCATGTACTCGCAAAACCTTAGCAAATATAGATATTTAAAGGAAAGTGTCATGTAATATTAGAACAGAGTTTTTAAGAACACTACAAGCAGTACCATGAAGTTTTTTTTAAAGATAATAGTTTACGGCTAGGATTAGGAAACCAAGTTTATAATTTTAAATATCATTTTAGCAATATGGACGGCTGTGTGAGTCTCTCTTATCATACTCATAAGATTTAAGGTGTAAATGGCAAGTGTAAACGTGCATTTACCTTATCGGGTTCTGCTTTCTGTTTTTTCTTATCTGTATCCGTCTTCTTTACATCCTTCATCACGGACATAGTTAGAGAAGAGAAGATTATGTTTCAGTATAATGTATTCTAAACAGTATTTAAAATATTTGTACTTCTTAAGAAAAAAGTTGTGCATATTATTTAAAAGATATTTTAAAGCATTTACATGCAGTTATTGGGATTATATGTGTAGGAATTCTTGCAGCGTAGTGATAAAAAGTTCATCATTCAGATATTATGTAATGAAGTTACAAGCATACATTATAAGTGTAAAGAGACAGTTACCTTGTTGGGTTCTGCTTTCGGCTCTATCCTATCTGTGTCCGTCTTCTTTACATCCACCGTCATGTGCAAGTTTGTAGAAGAGAAAATTGTGTGTAAATATAATGTATTCTTTTATAACTAAAATATAGATTAAAAGTGTTATTCTAGAGAAAAGAAGTCAGTACAGTGTTTAAGATTTTAATGCTATGCTTAATTTCATGTAATTCTAGTTTTGTATAAAGTATTATTATTCTATCAAATATTTCATCTCATTAATTTCCGCACTGTTTATATGTCACAAATGTGCCACACTGCACCCATTATGGTTATCTGATTTACTCCAGGCAAAGAAGGTAATGTGAAACATATTATTGCTATATTTTTATAATCATCATCATCATCATCATCATCACTGGCACGACAGCCCTTTGTGAGCCTTGGCCTTCCTCAGGATTGCTGGCCATTCTTCTCTATTCGATGCTACATTCCTCCAGTTCTTTACACTCAAAATTCTTATGTCCTGCCACACACATTCTTTCCATCTCAATCTTGGTCTTCCCACTTTACTATTTCCTTCTGCTTTAGTATTAAGTATTTTCTTATTCGTTCTATTCTCGCTGGCACGTATTATGTGTCCAGCTCATTCAAGCTATTTCAAAATTCAGCTCCAACATCATAAAAGCACATTGCTCCTCAATTACAAGAAAGGTCGATGAATACTATTTATGAACATAATTATTCTACACTGCAAGAATCATAAGAATGGCACAAAACCATTGTGAAAAAAATTAGGTGTACTTGTAATGTTAAAGAAGGTGACATATAAACGCTTTTTGTCCTCTAATTTCTAACATATGCCTTAATTAATTTATTTACAATTCTGAATGTAAACTAGACTAATTTGGGAATTCGAGTCTATTGAAGAAAAATTCACGTATAAGTACAGCATATTCAAGCGACTTATAAAACTGAGATATGTTAAACTCTACGCAATTAAAATAATAGGTATGCCTATACACTGGAGCAAGATCATTATGATAACTAAAACATAAAATGTATTGTTTCTATAACTTGAGAAGTATTATTTAAAATATTATCTACAACTCGGTTGAAGCTTCTCACCTTTTCTACTTCTGTCTTCTTTCGCTCAGGCTCCTTCTTGGCTTCCTCCACTTTCTAGTGAGAACAAGAAGTGAGCTGTTCTAATACAATTATATAAACGACGCTAAGTAGGCCTACCACATAGTGTATTGTTTTACTATCCGGTAAATATGAGCATTTTAGTTACTATAGGATTCTGACGATGCTGTATAACACACAGAGATATTGGGTTTTCGGAATTTATCCATCGTCCTGGTTTTAAGATAACTAATAAAAACACGACGTTTCGGAAACTGGATCTGTTTCCGTCCTCAGGTGAGGGAAAAACACATATTCTGTTGGGTCCCTTAGAAAGAGCTAGCCTCAATCACACTCAACAGAACAGGTGTTTTTCCCTCACCTGAGGACGGAAACAGATCCAGTTTCCGAAACGTCGTGTTTTTATTAGTTATCTTAAAACCAGGACGATGGATAAAGTCCGAAAACCCAATATCTCTGTATGAGCATTTTAGTATTGTGTTTTCAATTATGTTAAAAAATATGTCACTAATATATACGGGAAGTACAAAGAGTCCACCTAACAGTGTGGAGTATGTGTAGTTCTTCGGGCCGGCGAAACCTCATATGAACATGGAAAGCACAGAATATGACCCGGAAAGAAATATTGCGTCATTAAAACTGTTATGTGAGTATTTTTTTTTTCGAAATATAAAAGCAAAAATCAATCAATTTAAAGGTGACTTTTTAGATAATTTATATTGAATTAAGACCGTATACTACCCAAGAACATTTAACTTCCAACAAACACAACACATAAAATACTGAACAATACTGGTTATATGATGTACGAAACAAGCTGTAAAAATAGGCCAAAAACATAATTTTTACAACGATAAATAATGTATGACCTTCAAAATTTGATTATATTCCTGATAAATAGATTAGTATTAAGTGTAATATATGAAGGCTAATAAAATAATATAAATTATAAATATATTACATGATAAGTATATAAAACACACCCAAAAACATATGGCTCATAAGCGTTCATTAGCATCCAAACATATGTACATGCATATAAAATAAAATCACGCTGGAAAATGACACACGTAGGTCTTCGTTGAGGCAAATTCGCTTTATCACTCAGTATACGGCGTGTTCACAAGTGATATATCACTTAAATGCTTAATGCCTACACCCGTGACACAGTGAATATATTTGACTTGTGAAACGCTGATGCAAGTATCCAGTTTTCGTCTGGCGATTTTTTAAAGTAAACTGTACTGAAATAGTTGCATTAAATTTTTAATTTGAGAGTCTCATGAATATTACTCCCCCCGACGATTTTGTATTATTTGTGTTATACTGCTGTGGCATATTGATGCATTCAGTGCGTGAAGCTTAACTTAGATACAGATTTTATTTTTTTCAAAAATGAAAGCAATGTCAGTAGACCTATTTGGTGAAATAGGTATCTCACAGCTGAGCTCTATAGTAAAAATTCAACCCTCTCCATCTGGTGAAGAAAAACACCAGCTCCCCGAAGTTTCGTCTTTAAAAGCTTCTGGAATCGAACTATGGACATATGGGTGGAAGACACGAAAGGCGGTAACTTTTCTGTACCATCAGATTTTGCATTGCTTCTAAATTACTAAATGTGAAAAAGAGAAGTTTACTGTAAAGAAGCTTCAAGCGCATTTCCGAATTCGCTGAATTTTATTTTTCGAGCTGCACTTACTGAAAATATTGCGTAGCAGGTTGATGACGTCAAGCACTAACAAATTGCGCTGATATTAATATTTTTACAAATTTCTGGACTCGAACTGAAAACACCTGGCAAAAACGTAAGGATATCTTAGTCACTCTTCATACACGGATGAATATGAGTATAATATTATTGACCCCGCAGCGGCCCGGGTTAGAACCTAGGTCTGGTCAAGTGGGATTTGTGGTGGACAAAGTGGCGCTGGGGCAGGTTTTCTGAGAGTACTTCTGTTTCCCCTGCCAATCTTCATTCTACCAATTGCTCCACAATCACCCTCACCTATCATCTGGGGCTGGTACAGTAGGCCAGAACTAGCCGCAGTACAAGGGACTTAGTCCCACCCCACCAGCAATAAAAAAATAATGCCATTGAAATCCTAGTTCCAAGTCAGTTAGACAGTGAGGTATTACAGAATATATGCAAAATAAGGAAACATCGGTGGGCATAGTTGAAGCACCTGGAATATTAGGTATCATGTGGACACAATATTACGCTAAATTCTGAAATGTGGCCAAGTACAACGTAGAAGATTTGTTTTTCACCATCATTGTCACGCTGTATGCATAAGAGTACGTTATGCGTTTGACTATGTATATACTGAAAGTCTACAACATGAATATCTGTGCCTACTTACTGACGCTCTTATCTTCTTAGATGTATATTTAAAATCGATTTTTTTTTTGGAAATTAATGAGTATGTTTACTTGGGGCTGCTAATTTAATATGTTATTTTATAAGGCTTATGAAATGCATTGTTAATGAGACTATCCTATAATTATGTATGGACGCATCAGTATCTGTTAGTTGAAGGAACAAAGCAGTTTGCGTTTATTTGTTTGCACGCTTTAGTGTGTAAAGTGTAAGACTAGCTAGATATGTATAAAGTTTAGCTTTAGCTTATCTGGAACAACGAAAAAGAATAGCAGACAAATAAATAGAGCAAATATCAGCTGAACGGCCCAAGCGTCGAAATAAAAAACACCTCACCTTCTCCGGCTGTATCTTCTTGTTCGGTTCTTCTTTCTTCTTCACTTCATTCTCTTCCTATTATCAATGAAAATGTGCTTTATTAAAATATTGCAAGTTTCGGACCACTTAAAACTTTTTTTTTTCATATGCGAAAACATATAATTTAAATAGAGAAGACTGATTTTTAGTATGAACGGATATATACTCATAAAACAAATGTGAGAATAAAATGCAATTATTTTTAAGTCCGCATATAAAGTTTCTCTTTCCATAATTTTCTAGGTGGTCCGCTTGTAATTTCAGTAGTTTCCTCCGGAAATTTATGTTCATAAAATTTTAATTATATCACCTACTGTTTAAAAGCTCTGTTGTAGATGTGATGTAATAAATCAGCCAGAATCACGCTGAATCATTTAATCACATACGCCTTCATTAATTGTTATGTTCACAGTATGAAAATCTATGCTTGTTACGTCCAAACACAAAGGGAGTTAAGGTATGGCGAAAATAGTGAGTCTTCCTAACATCACTTGAATTAAAATACGGATAATTTCTTTAAAGAAATATGCTAAGTAAATTACAGACAACGAACTTCTATTTCAGATGTGCCAACGATGACCTTCGAAATTACGTCCTTTGTTATAGACTCGTGTCCGGTATTTCTGCTTTCATATATTTGCAAGTAACAGGGCTTACTTGCAAGACTGTGTTCAACATTTCATGCTATAAAATTCTCTAATTGTTAAGAATATTACATAAATATTAGTTAAACGTTGAAGATCTGCAAGCGTGACATCCACCAACCATACTCTTTCACTAAAAACCAAGAATATGTAATTTCTGAATTCATCTGAAATAAAAACAACTTTCTGAAATAAAGACATTAATAAGTTATTAATAATCTGTTGAAAATATGGTTTCTGTGTTGGCTATAATACAGCATATATTGTAAATTTCAGAATGTCTAGACGCAAGTAACAATCTTAGTTCACGACATGTAGTTTGTGAGTTACATCATCCATTCAAATAGATTAAAGGAAACATATAGAAGATTTTAATATTTTCCACCATTATTCTTATCTTAAAAATCTAAATACCTTACCAGCATATTCTGGTTAATCGTTAACAAAGTAATTGGCACATAAAATACCAATATATTACGAGTGTTTCTGTTACGGAAATGAAGAGTTCTCGTCTATCTACGCTACCTTATCATCTTTTGAATCAATAGCTCAATTTTGAGGAAAATTTGGTACGGATATTATGCTAATGGATTGCTATGCGACCGGTTTCAAATGACGTATTTATTTAATATACCTCTGATTATAGATTTCTGTAGTTTCGTAAGGTGGCCGTACTGTGGGCCGTCGTATACTGCCAGGAAAATATTGCATATTATTTACAGAATACCATCGTGCACATTATGTGATATTTCAGGAAACCATGGTGTTGCCTGTAGCATTGAACACCCTAAATCTTCTAAAATTTAAACTCCCAAATGAATGATAATGTTCTTCCCATCTGTTTTCAAACTCAATTTAAAATTTTCTTTCAAGTACCACATTCAATATACTAGTATGACGAAAATGTTTCTAGTTTGTCCTCCTGTTCAGTACGATAAGATCCACATTAGCATTTAGGACTCGTTAGATTGTTACAGTGCAGGCACTTACTTGAAGAGTCGCTGTCTTCTCTTCTATCTTCACTGCAACATCGTTGACCTTCTCCACCTCTTTCTGCAGGAAAAAGAAACCATTGTTGTAACCAGCATGGTATTAACTATCCTGCTTAGCAACATTTAAGTTGAAAATAAGTTGCAGGAGATCGTAAGAAATGGAATTGTAATAAACTTCCCAACATTGGTTTCAAAAGTAATCCATACGTGTCCTGTGTAAATGAATAGATTAGATTTAAAAAAATAGAACCTATTGTTTATACTAACTCTTGTGTTTGAGAGCAGAGTTTTATATTTTTACAAGAATATTTTTATGCGGCAGACAATTTTAATATTGAAGAATGCCGTCTTCTGGGATGTGGCGCCGTACAGCTTCTGTGAACCGACGTTTCTGATGAACTTATCACCTCCATCTTCAGGGTAGAAAAATCCGCGAGCGAGGAACCAGTCTTAGCAGGTAGATGCAGCCAAGCTGGAATGTTGGTTCCACGCTAGCGGATTTTTCTACCCTGAAGATGGAGGCGATATATTCCTCCCAAACTTCGATTCACGCAACACCTACACGGTGCCACATCCCAGAAGACTGTATTCTTCATAATGACCGTTGTGACTTGCACCCCTCGCCAAGTATAATTAGAGTAATCAAGTCAAGGAAGACGAGATGAGCAGGGCATATAGTAAGAGTGGTGGAGAAGAGGACTGCATATAGAATTTTGGCGGGAAATCCAAGAGAAAAGGATCCACTAGGAAGACCAAGATGTAGGTGTGTGGACATTGTTAAAATGATTATCAGAGAGATAGGATGGGATGGATTGGATTGATCTAGCTAAGGATAGGGACCGCTGGAGGGGTCTTGTGAACTCGGTAATGAACCTTCGGGTTCCATAAAATGCTGGAAGTTCTTGAGTAGCTATATAATTGGCAGCTTCTCAAGAAGGGTTCAGCTCCATGAGTGAGTAGGTGTGTTATGACTTATGAGATAAATATTTCATAACTTTATGTCAGAATCAGCATTTGGTTAGTTCAGAATATGTTATTTTGTTCAAAATCTCTCAGTTTTACACCGGGTTATGTCATAGTAAGAAGTCAGGGCCATGAAAGAAGTGAAAAGGGATTCTGAACCCCCACCAAAAAACAATATATTTTTAATGTATGGCCACATTGAATTAATGCGGCTGGATTCAAAACGAAATTATATTTCAGGAATCTAAAAATCAATAATTGTATAAATAAATTATTTATCTTACGAGAGTTCACAGGAATAAGGCATATTCTACTAATTTGTTTAAAACTGCACCTGATGAAAGGGCTCAAATTTTCCAAGAAATTCCTCACATACCCGTATACTTCAATTTAAATAAGTAACTCACAATTTACATATGCTATGGCTGTACCGTTGCTGAAAGAATGCATTCCGTAGCCTGTAGTGCTCACTGCACGGTTATCTTTGAGCTTATTTAAATAAGAGATCCTGCATTTTGAGGGCGAATGAAGGCATGGTTGTATTAATACGTAATTAAAGAAGGAAGTTAAACTGGATGTTGTTATAATTCGTCAGAATATGAGCCTTTAACATCTGAATAAAATGAAATATAAATAATATATATGAATAACACAAACCTTTTTGGGCTCAGGCTTCTTCTCGGGAACCTTTTTCTGTAAAAAAAAAAATACAGTGTAAGTGAATGACCAGGCCTCAACAAATCCATTGTCTATTGCAACCGGTCCTATCTATCGCAGTAGCTCTTGTCGATAAGAACTGAACTCTTCAGGGTCGTCTTACGGGCGGTAGATAGGCTTGTCTACTCTTATGAATTCAATAAGGAACTTTAACGATAACCCGATGTGAATTGATTTATTTGTAATTTAAATTGTCGTAGTCACATGGTTGACCATGCGGAAAGAACGAATATTTAAGGTTGAAAGTTCTGCGCAACCATTAGAATAATGAATTTTGATGCTACATGCCGGACAATATGGTGCCGGTACTGTGAGGTTGCCTGCCGATTGGCAATACTCCTTGAATTAGGGAGAAAGTTCAAAGGCTAGTTACTCTAAATGAGGGTACGACCCTGACGCAACAAAGTGAGGTCAACGACCCTGGAATTCTTGAGGGTGTCAGCCTGTCGCCTCCTTGCCTCCTCAACACAAACCAAAGAGGGTTATTGCCAATGTTGTCATTTCGATCTTTCCTCGACGTATTCGATTTCATCATGAAAATATGTAATAATATTGTTATAATATATCGATTTATTAAAATTATAATAAGCCGAAGCTTTCACTTCTCGTCAGTGACAAGCGACAAATGCACCTCCATAAATACAAATATCTAACAGTAAATTTGAAAAATGAATGAATTCTTATGTATATATTGTCTATGTGTGTAATTCACAAATCGGTCCGTCGTCTTTTGTACCTCGGAAAATGATAATGATTACTGTACGTAAATACGGAAAATATTCCTTTTATGAATAAAAATAGAAAATTTGTGAAAGTTCCTTTGCAAGCATGGGTTCGAACCAAAATCAATTGCTTTCTCCCATAAAGGAACACTTGAACCCTACCAAATCTTAACCTTCAAATAGATTCATAGCACGTCAATTTTAAGTAAACGCCATAAATAACAAACACCGTTGCTCAAATTTTGATGCAGATTATTCTGAGAAGGCTTTCTAGTACAATATAAGAGATATTATTTTGTGTGTTTTGTATATTATGGTAACAAAGTTGTTTTATCTTGTGAAAATCTCTTTGATGAAAATAAATTTTACATAACGTTTATGGATAACACGTACCAATTCTACACACTACAGAAAAATAAACATGAAGTAAGACTTAGATAAGAGGACCACACTGAAAATCCACAACTTAGAGGTCAGTCAATTAATGAATTCTATATTTGAAATAACAAAGTGTTTCCCCTTTCATACTCCTATGTAAATGGTTTGTACAGTACAGTTATAGCAGTATGTACAGCATTATATCACATATACTAACACATTCAATTTAGGCGTATAATACATAGTAGCTGAGGGTGTAGCCTTGAGAGGTTTATCAAAAAAATTCAAGCCAATTACGTATATTACAGGGATTCTTGTGTATTGGGATATACGCTGCTGACAGCGTACAACTTATAAGCCAGTCTGAAGTGATTTCAATTCAGTGCAAATTTTCAACTGCATTAAAGAATGAAGGTATTCTTTACTGCGATGTATAATTCGCTCATTGCTTCTATACTGAAGTGTGCTTCAACCTAGCAGCTTGGTGAATGTTCATGTTGGCGCTCAATATGAATCGTAAATGTATCCCTACGGGGTTGAGAAAACGAGTGTTTTTCTTAACAGGATCCAGCCTATCTAATACTAACTGGGATGAAATAAAATACTGTGTATCCCTTCCTCAACCAACAATCAGCTCGCATGATTTCATTAGCACACGCGAAGAGAATAACCTTCAATGATGAAAATCAGAAATTAATTCTGATGCATAAAACGGGCCGTTTAAATGCACGTTGCTACTCTGGGTTTAAAAAAATGTTAGCCTCATCAGAAGTAATAACATTGGCAGATTGTCAATCAATAAAATTGTCGTTGGCAAAGGGAGTTTGAAAGACAGTAAAAACAAAAGCAGGGGTTTGTGTGTTAATGTTGCGTGAGAAATGCATTAAGCAGTGTTGTGTTAGATGTAGCCATAAAATTTGTTTTTATGAAGAAATGAATGTTACCTGTTCCTCTGGTTTCTTTGTGTCCTTGTCAATTTTTCTCTCAATGACTTCCTGTTGGTGTGAAAAATTATGTGATAAAGTGTTTCACAATAAAAATGAATATATTTAAAAATATCATTATTTCATATGTATATATGAAAATATAATTCTCAAACTAAAAAAATCTGTATCAGAATTAGCTCTCATATGTTAAAATATATAGGGGTTTGAATGAATTTATTTTTATTTACATTCATGACACATATACAACTTACTGTTAAGATATATTTATTTAAAATTAGCAGTAATATTTAAAGCATAAAAATGTTGCTTGCATTTATTTAATTTATGGAGCTCGATGTAGCAGTTACCGGAGAATAAAAGCATTATTGTCGACATTGATAGAAATTGATAGAAATTAAATTCTGAAGTATAATCAAAGGCTAGTAATTTAAAAACACCTGGTGCTGTGATGTCACACTGCGAAGTAATCATAAAAGTGACTTGGAGTGACCTCTATTGCAGTCATTTAAGAAAGAATATTACATGTGAATGCATACGTCACTTCCTACACCCCAAAGTTTATTGTTAATTTCTTAATTTCTGTGAAACCAGATACTGTTTTAGAAAGGAATCCCTTCGAATTTCAAGCAGAAATCTCGCAATGTTACACAATTTGTTTAAGAATCCTATTTAATTTGTAATAACTTCCGAATACATTGGAATATACTCCAGAGCATTTGATGAATAGTGACAAAATTTGTTGCTGCAACTATCTAGTCATTCAGCACAATGTGTACGGAGAAAATTATATAGTATAAATTTAACAGGCGCGTTCGGAAAAAAGGATTATAAATATATGCCAAGATCCATGATTGATCTATTGAGCTATGTGAGTTACAAAACTGGTATTGCACAATTGCGGAATGTCATATTTTAGATGAACTGAATAACTAAAATTACTGCGAACTTTTTCTTTATAATATAGTCATAAAAAGTAGTTTTTGAAATGGACGACGGAATGGCATTGTGTCAAGAAACATCAATTGCAGTAAATCAAGAAAACTGATTACCGCTTAAGTTGCAGGCAACGGAGAAACTTTAGGAGAAATAAAGTTTATGGCCGACGCGAACACCTGAGAAAAGTTCATCCTGTTCCTGAATGAAAGCAATCACGAAGGTCGCCTCAGTTTCCATGATTAAGTCAATGTTGAAAACGGACTGGTGATAAGCAGGGCCCGGATTTAATGACATGTCATCTTTTTTTCCTTGTATCCTATGCGATGCTCTTAAATATATATATATCGGATATGAGCTGCTGGTTACAGAAATGTAAATTTTATAGGTAATTTTTTTCATTTGTTTACACTTTTAGGTTTAAAGTCTTTTTTTTTTCATTTTTGGGGTAATTTTGGTAAATTTTTGGACTTTTAAGGGTATTTCTTGTCATTTTTGGCCATTTTAGGGAATTTTTCTTCATATGTTTTCTGAAATGTGAATAACATGGAAGCGAAGTGTTCTTTCTTTTCTCCTTTAGGTCATTTTTCTGGATTTTTTCGGTCATTTTATAGGTCGTTTTTTGAATATTTTCAGGTCATCAAAATCTGGGCCCTGCATATTACATTATTGGGTCATATTTTAGATCATTTTTCTGGATTCTTTCGGTCATTTTTTAAATATTTTCAGGTCATCAAAATCCGGGCCCTGGTAATAAATGTTCGGAAACCAAATATGACTACAGTATATATCAGTGAATGCACACACAATATCTTACTATTTTAATATGCTTTTAGATCCAGGGTAAGAAGTCAGATTTATAAAATTCAGACTTGATAGCTGCAATCCTGCACACAAAACAGGAAGAAAGGAAAGAAAATTATATACAAAGAATAGTGAAGGACTCAGAGGAATAAGAGTGATTTGTTTTCAGTGTACAAGACTTCGCCGTCTGTTACAATTTATGTTGGGTATGATGCAATCAGAAATCCGGTATAATTGCAGCGATGACAATAAATAATTAGGTCAACACCATGGAAATCGGTGAAATGTAAGTTACTTACAAAAACTGCTGTCTTATTCTGATGTAGTTACAATTGTCAAATTCTAGCATATGTTTTTCTGTTTCGCGGAAAATGAGCAGTGCTCTCAGGAATACAAATTAAACTTGTCCCTTACAATCAATGTCATAATTATCCAAATGTTTTTATTATGGGGACCGGCAAAATCTTTAAATCAAATGTGATTTTAGTTACTATAAATGTGACAGAGTACGAGAAATATTAATCAAGATACAGAATATTATGTAACACTAAAATTTGCAACAGGAGTGTGATGTAATGGCAAAGTAACATTATAGCATTCACGAAATCAAAAGCTAAATAGGACCTACAGTGAACAGTCTCAACTTAGAGACTGTGAAAAAAGGATGATTACAAAATATTGACCTAAAGAATTTTACATCCATAAATAAAATGTTAAGAAATAAAAATCATACTAAGAATATATGTGTGATTCTGAGTTTCAAAATGTAAAAGGATATTGGTTTAAACCTGTCTTAAAAATAGTGTAAAATTCTGTAAAGTCTGTACCTCCTGAGAATCCCAGTCTTCACCACTTTCCTCATCCTCCTCCTCCTCCTCCTCTTTCTCATCACTGTCATCCTTAGGGTCCAAAAGAAAACGTACAGTAGATGAGTCTGCTCACAGTGTCCCAAGTATGTTACATAAGAAGATGAAGAAAATAAAATCGTGGGAGTGTATGGTGATGTTGGGAAGTAATTAGATGTGCTACTCCTTTTGAAATATAAAATTAATTACAATTTTACATTATAGAATATCTATGGGAATTAAACATATATTGAATCACCTTCACTTAAACTTCCTGTAAAANATTTATTGGCGTCATCCGCATTCAAAGGCACTTCATCAGCCCTCGGCCAATAACAAGACAATACGATATCGTTCCCTTGCAAGAGTCTGTGGATGCTTGTCCTATACATAACCTGGATATAGTGTGCAATGTTAAACCTAAGACACAAGTGACCATTGAATTTCACAATTTAAGACATTATTATTATTATTATTATTATTATTATTATTATTATTATTATTATTATTATTATCATTCTCATTATATAGCCATATTTTATTATTATTGCTATTACTTTTCTTATTCAAGTGATATAAATTGCCTTGTTTTTGTATTTTGTTTGTGTGTGTGTTCTGTTTCTTTTTCTTTACCATGCTAATTTATAATTTGTCTTTTGTGTGTTAACGTGTAAGTAGATAAGAAATAATTATAATTATGTGTTTCCGATTGTAGTCAAACGCGAATATTCGTCAGCAAGCCAGTTACACAGTATATAATACATGGAGAATAATATACAAAAAGACACTCACCACCGACGACACAGTAATTGTCAGCTTGTATTAACTTTCCCATTCAACGCTAATCTCTACATGTCAGTCCGCAGATAAAGGAGATTAAATCCTGTGTGAATTCCAGTGTGAAGATCGACCTCTGTAAATGTAACGTTCTGCACTTACATTTTAGGGATATTTGTTTCGGAACTCGGCCAATGCACTGATTATCCTGACTAGGGTTTTCCGTGGATTTCCTCAGTTCTTCCAGGCAACTACCGGGATACTACCTCGATTAGACCACTAATACGTCCTTTCAATTTTTTTTTTCAATTCAACCATCATCCTACTATCCTACGCTATTTAATCTCGAGGGTGAAGGTGTAGTCGAATAACGCAGAAGAAAAGAAGCAATTGATTTTCCCTACTTGTAATGAATTCGTTTCTGTGAAAAAAAAATTGTCTTTCACCCCACTGGAATAAAGACGTTTTTGAATTCATGTAACCCCACTCCCAGAACCTATCATACTTCAATTTCTCGCCAATGGAATTTATGTCATGTAGCCCTACATGGTACATTTTCATGTATTTCGTCACTGTACTTCCAAATGGTATACACGCTATATTTGATTGAATACTAACTGCCTTATTGACAGTTGAACTCATAGTGGAAAACGTTTCCACAAAATTAATTTATAAATTCCCTACCTTCTCAGGTTCCGGCTCGACTTTCTTTTCTTCTTTCTTCTCTTCTTTTTTCTCTTCTTTCTTCTCCTCTTTCTTTTCTACCTTCTTTTCTTCTTTCTTCTCTTCCTTTTTCTGAAAAGAATATACACACAATTTTGTATCGCTTGCTGCTTTGAACATTAACAGAAAAAATATTAAATTGTATTTAATTATTTGGCATTAATATTTACGACCCCATTTTATTCAGAAGATAAGTAAAATTTGCTGTACAGATATTAATATAAATTCATCATTTTCCATTTATTAACAAAAGGTTCCAGTAAGAGCGCCCAGGAAATTTATTTAAGATACAGAATCCCATTTTCAAGATAACCAATCAGAGTCACAAATGTGTGATTAGGCACCGTGCAAGTATGTCAAATAAGAAGATTTCCATTTTCTTGTGACATATTTATGGACTACATACCAAATCTAAATTTAATATGGGTATATTCTTGGCTACGTATATTGTCTTCGAAAATCATATCCATTTTAATAATATGAATGTCATTGGAAATTATTTTAATGACTCCAGTTACCGCTATGTATGGGAATCATATACACAATGAGGAATATAAGAGTGGAGCATAATTTTAACTCTGAAAATGTTATGTGAACAGACCTAGTTTCATATATTCATCTCTTTCGAGAAAGACTCTTACATAAGACTAGCATGAAATTCTTTGGGATTTCAACGGGAAATCGTCGCAGTTCTCAGAAACATACGCGATTACATTACACTATCTTCACTCCAATAAACTCTTAGGGGACGCTTGAGGGACGCTTAGAAACCACGGCTTTATTAAATTTGACTATGAGCATGGCCTAAATATAAGCATTGGTTTCTTTCCAGCAGTTTGAATATTTCGATTTTCGACGCTTGGAACTGCATTTGAATAATGAAATTATAAAATACACAACATTAATTTCCATACGCTAAGAAAATTGAAAAAAAAAACAGCAGATATTTAAAAAAAGTTACAATAATTTTTCTTTTTTTTAGCAAAGTCACATAATACAGGGCGTCATGCAAATTTGCAGTTTGTTATAAAGGCTCATTTTGGAACAGCAAATGTACTGATGAAGTAGACATTATAGATTCTTAAACTTCATCAGGCATCACGTGATTAAAATGTGACTGTGACGTTTCTCTTATGAAAGCATTCTTTAAAACAATGAAGTTGATGTTTTTTAAGTTTACTTGAATTACTCCTGGGAGAATTCGATTCTTACCTTCTCTTCCACTTTCTTCTTTTCTGAAAAAAGTAAAAATAATATGTATATACACAAACCATAATTCTTCATTGGTACATAATTATTATGAATACAAAGATAATATTATTTATAAGTTTCTGGAAAGGATAGCATACATCACGCAGAACAAAACTGTATCTTTCATATTATAGCCTCATTATCCCAGTAAATTATTAGTAAAGCACTTCTTTGGTACAACTGTATAAAATTAAGAAATTAACTCCATTTTGCATTTATGATATGTTCGTAATGATGTAGAAGAAAATAATTCAAACCTTTTACTAAAACAAGATACTTATGGTTACTTTCGACTGGCAACTTTAGCTGGGTATAAAATGAACGAAACATGATCCATGCATTGAACTCTACCATTTACAAGTGAGTCTAAAATTTTAAAAAACACTTTTAAAGAAGTAAGAGTACTATTTCTACATACATTTGCACACATCAGCTGAGAATGTGGAACTTAGCCTTCATTGTTCCGAATTACGGAATTCTTTGAAGATTTGCCAAAGTACAAGAATTCCAGAGTAAAAGCCTCTTATTTATTTGCATAAATAAACTTATGAGACATTTAAATAAAATAATTCATGCGGATTTAAATACTCGTACAACACATTCCATTGAATATTCCACAGAAATTATTTTTGAAAAATGTCTTCACATGGGCTGCTAAATAATTGAATATTCCACAGAAATTATTTTTGAAAAATGTCTTCACATGGGCTGCTAAATAAACTTTAAATAACATATTTTGCCACCCATATCATTTGCGCAAAAAATAAGTTTCGTTTAAATTATGTATTCTGAGGTATACAAATTACATGAATAAGCAGTGAGGTTCATCGTGCGTATCAAGTTTAATAGCAAAGTATAAACGATTTTTATACGTGTTTCGGCCACTACTCTCCATGATAAGAAGGCGTAGTCAATTTTATAAAGGAATACTTTACAATGAAATGATTTCACATTCCAGAAAACGATAATTTCGTGCATTCCAAATTGTTTCCATTAAAATATAAATATGAGTATACTAAAAGATTAAGAGGATTTGTAAAATAAGCGAGTTTCAATAAGTTTAAATTAAGTAAAATAATTCAGGAATAGAACTTACTGGGGCAACTTACCAACAACTTTGAGATCGGCACTAGATTCCGCTTTGCCAAATTCGTTAGACACAACGACCTTATAAGAACCCGCGTGCTCCGTTTTGCAACTTGAAATACGTAATCTGGCGTAGGTACCGTCGAATGTTGATTTGATTTCCAGAGATTCTCTAACAAGGGTTGCTCCCCTAAAAGGACATAATTTTGTGTTAATTTCCTTTATTGTTTCTGAAATCGAAAATTGCATGTACAAGAAAATTACGAACACCTTATACTAGTAGCTAAAATTTTTAAGAAGAATTTGCATATAAAATTGTAAATAACTCTGATAAAGGGAGCTACTGTTTGACAGCAGTGATGCTGGAAGTTACTCCTTTAATTACATTGATATCTTAATCATGAAGTTGAGTTGCAGTTTGACATCTTACCACAAACCCTCTAATTTCATATGTTTGTGCAGAAGTTGAGCTACTATAGGGACTAGCAGGTGTTATTATCCACATCATAAAGGTTCCTTTTAAGATACTAATAACCTGGGAAAATTTAACTGACTCAGGATCACGTGGCATGTCGATATTCGAAAGTAACGGTCATTAATCATGTTCAGTAATAATTCAGTTCAATTCGTGTGGTAGCCCAACATCCTAATACAATTCAATAATAATAATAATAATAAATGTCCTATAGCGAAAAATGATTGAAGATAGAACAAAGGAAGCCTCATTGCCATGGTGGGTTGTTACACCTGAAGTACAAGAACAAAACGGAGGGACGGATGGAAATAAGAGCTTACAGGAGAAGTTGCGTCAGCTGTACATCAGCATATACTTAGAAACGAGAGCAAGCTGAAGAATCAACATTGCTGGGAGCAGTAACCTAGCAACGTCTACTGAAGACAAACTGAAGAGACTCGGAGTGTGCTATAGTGAGAAGCTGAGAGCGTTATAATTACTTGTAATTACGATTTATAGAATTCAATAAATCCAATTAACAATCCAAATCCCTGGTCCAGTCTCTAACATATAATAATACATACAACATCTAGGTGTGTATTCAAACGGATTTTTAGTTTCGATAATGAAAATATCCTTAAATAACACACTAAATAACGATTGCGAGGGTACCAAGAACTCACAGAGTACAAAACTCAAAATTTACATTTCTGCAACATTCCGAGGGCCATTTAAAGGAACATACGTGTATATGAACGTATGAGGGATTGCTAACACTAAATACTGTTACAAAAGTTGGGGAAGAAAAATGAGAAGGATGGAATTATTATAAAATTTTACTAACTAGACTGAAATATAAGTAGATCAGTAAGTAAGTAAGTTGTAATGACTTCTATATCGGCAGACGACGCGAGTAAAGCCACCAGAAAGACCGGTAATTGGAAATCACCAGATCCTGATAAAACCAAACATTCATTTCCGTTTTTAGGAATTAATATCCACCAACAATCCTCTGATAAAATATTCCAGTGCTATTCTTGAAACAACAGTAATTATTCGGGATTTTCTTGGACGTGGCAAAATATTTCTATTGTGGTACCCAAATAGTGACTAGCCTATAATTAAGTCATAAGCCTAGAAGTCATTGTAATTCTTTCGCGGTACATAATTCTTCTGACCACCAGGAACAGACAGAGGGACAGGAACAAGTGCTTAAACGCATTTCCAATACAACACTCACAAATTAATTCAATTTCTTTTATTCCATCATTCTCGGATGAGATAAATTTCATGCAATTTTATGTGTATTATATTTTATTGGTAGGAACTTTAGTGTTCTGATAAAGCAAGGAGTTTTATTATAACTTACCTGTACCACACAACAGTAGCTTTCTTGTCTGACGTTTTCAACTGACACATGAACTCTGCGCTTTTTCCTTCTTCTGCATTCTGTAACGTCAAAATTATAATCAGATTATACATATTAGAAACAAGATTTGGCATGATATGGGATTATTCTCAGTTCCCCCATGCATAATCTTCTAAGTTTAGGCCATGGTATATCTTAATCATTTAAATACAGAGCTTCATAAACGTTTGTAACAGCTAAACGTATAAAAAGAATTCTTGACACAAAACCAAATTGTAGTGGCAATCCACGAACAAGTCATGAGTTCTATGAAGAATGAATTTAGTAGAGCTGTTAATACTGACATATGTACGAGTATATGATTCCAATATTTTTATAAGTAATGCATAGGAAACATTAAAATGTAAAGTAGTAATTGAGATAATAATTAAAGTATAATTGTTGAATTTAGGCAGTCAATACCATAAACTGAAGTTTTATGTTCAAAAAAGGATTCACAGGATACATTTCAGATCACAATGTCCATTTATAATGCAAAATATGGACGGAGCAAGAATATTCAACAACACAGAGTGAGAGTCATTAAAAGGACAAATCCCGCCCATATCAATTTTAACAGAATTGTTGAATAAAATGTATACAGCGCATTGCAGGGATTCATAACATTACAGACCCTACAAGTTATGCGGTTTACTCGTATCCCTCCCTTCCTCTTCATCATCAACTTATTCCTACAGTACCAAGATTTATCCACTATGAAATATGTGAACATGTTGAACTTGTAAGTAAATTCACACCTCATTGTGTGAATTAAGTAGACGAAATTATTAAAGAACTATGCAAGCAGTCATTCATATTTCTTCATTGACTGTACTTACCACAGATGTCAGGCCCTGAGAAAATTCATATTTGTTGCCCTTCTTCACTTCTTCTTCTTCTTCTGGTATTTCAGTCACTTCAACTGTCTGAGATGTGGCTTCTCCCTTCTCATTCTTTGCCACCAGTTTGTATGAACCTTTATCAGTCGGATTTGCCGGTTCAATTTCTAATTTTACAGAAAATTCTCCCTGGAAGAAGGAAGTTTTCAGGTTAAGTAACAATGAAAGTACAATGAATACCTTACAATTGTTATGGAATTAAATTAGTTCGAAGGTTATACAAGTATTCTCATAGACCTAAAATTAATTTACTAATAAGATGCAAAGCTTACTTCACACAGATCACAATCTACGAATCAAAAAATATAGTTCTCAAAACTTACATCTTTAATTTGTTCAACACGAACTGTGTGTCTCGAATCTTCACGGACAGCTGACTTTTCCTTGAACCAAGTGCACTGTGGAGGGAACTTACTTACTACATTACACTCCACAATCACAGTTTTCTTCTTAGTGATCTTTATCACTTTTGGCTTCTCTTTGATTACGGGTATAACTGAAATATTACACAAACCACATTATAGATTCAGTTGCACAATTATCAACATGTCAGAAAAGAAGAAATTATTAATATGTAAATTGCTTTAATATAATCGATTTATAATTCATTATTTTTTGTTCTGTGAGCCCATGAATTGTTTTGATACCAAGAAAAAACATCCTAAAATAAGTTGTGTCGATCACAGCATGATAATTTTCATAACATTTCCAGTATCAGAGTCTTAAGACCAGTAAAATTAAGTACAAAATATATTACAGGACTTATCAAAGGGGAAGTTAAAAGGCACTGAAATTGAAACAAACTTGCTATTTTTATGCTAAGTATGGAGAGCCATTGGAGTGTAACAGAGTGCAGAAAATATTTAATTTCCTTCATAATTAGAATTGCTTAATCAATCACACTATCCATTCTAAAGGTGATTTCTAATTTGTAATTTCAACTTATTTAACAAATTGGAAATAGACTGAGAACATAAAAGCATGGTACTCTTTCGTATAAAAATAATAAAATTGCTATGATTTATTTGGTTTTCAATTTGTGAGGTCCAGGAGGTCATCTCTTAAAATTTCCAAATATTCATAATTCATGATCACCCTAACATATCTTACTATAAACTCATCAGTAGACACAGAGCTTGAAAGAAATCTAGTAACTACAATTCTATTATTAGAAATGCATTTCGGTATTTCTCTTACCAAACTTGCTGAAAGCAATGGAAAAATCTAAGTAAACATCGCCTAACAACTTAAAAATATTTAAATATGGAAATTTACTCCTGGTACACGCAGTACATTTCAAAATACATTCGCCGCACAAAGAGGTACTCACTTTCAATATTGAGTGTGAGGTTCGCGTTTAATTCGCCAAGTGAATTCTTGATGTTGCATTTATACAAGCCTGAGTCTTCTTGCCCGGGATCCTAAAAGTTTAAAATACACGTACGTCATTTATTTTAAGGTTTCAGTAATTCCATGAAGAGTAGCAAGATATGCACATCCTTTTATTTGTGTTAATGATAATTGTAAGGATGCAATTTCCTTCATCCTCAATGATATTGTCACGAGACTGAATGGCTACGGACGTGTTTTGGATTGATGATCGGACTAACTGGACTCATTGATATAGCGCCTGACTACTCTATACAATTCACTATTTCAAATACTTACTACTCTTCACAGTCACTTCTTTACTAGACGTTTCTCGTTAGCGGCTTCTAACGGCAATTATTTCCATGGAAAGATGCTTGTTTGCGAAGCCGTTTCTTAGCAAAGGATTTTGTAAAGCTGCTTTTTTCTCTGTCGTTGCACAGCAATGGGTCTACATGCCACAATATATTGAAATTACATTTTCTTATAACTGGTTCTCCTTTACTCTTTAGAAGACCTACAATAAGTCTAATTTAAACTTATATATTCAGTTCAGAATTCATTTTACTTTGAATTTGTATGACTTCTGAAATGTATTGTAGCACGTCGACCCGTTGCTGAACAACGACCGCGAGATAAGCAAATATACAAGAACCGTTGCTGAATAATCGCATTGCCAACAAACATGCTCCCATGGAAACAATTTAACTACAACAATGAGGAGTGGTGTTTTGTATGCGGTCGGTGTTGAGATGTAAACGGGACAAGTTGGGAGCTGCAGTTAGTTAGTCAGTCAGTGAAGAGAAAGGTAGAAATTTGGTGTGAGATGGCCGTCAGTCTGGGAGTTGGTGAGTTGGAACAATGAGTCAGTGTGGGATATTCGCCAGCCGATAAGAAAGTTAGCAGAGGACATTGTTAAGATCCGTTACAAGGAAACGAATAACGAAGACAGTTACAGTGCAGCTGCAGTTACATTGATCTTTAGACTGTGTAAACCAGTAACGCTGTTACAGTTACTTGTAGTTATGAGTTATGTGTATAAATGTTCAATAAATCCAATCACCAATCCAAAATCCGTCTATAATACCTCATGACGTGACAGTAAATGCCTCTGAAAAGTAGCAAGACATCTGTATTACATGCTTTTGCCGTTCATATTACAGAACCATATGATAACAGTAACCATTTTACACATATGATGTATATTAATTTATTTGATTAGTGTAATATTGAAGAAATGAACTTCATCAATTCAGTATTTCAGGTACAGTATGCGCCAAAATATGTAGTACAGAAACTCGCGCATCTCGAAAGCGCGTGTGCATTTGTCGACGGGGCATAGCTCCAGCCACACGTATTCCCAGTAGTGAAAAGGAAGTTGTGTTGTGCAGTTGTTGGAAATGGGTCTCTCGACGGAGGGCAAAGTATTCATAGTTGAGTATTATTTCCGCTCATATGGAAGTGGTCGCCAGACAACTCGCTTCCTTGGTTTTGAGCTGCCAGATGTTATCATCCAGAAACCGCCACACAGTACACGTGTGACGCTATGGTGTGCCGTCTCAGCACACGGTATATTAGGCCCCTATTTCATTGAGGATGAGGAAGGCAATTCTCTTACCGTCACCCAAGAACGCTACAGGGACATGGTGATCAGACCTTTTCTTCAGGATTTGAGAAGGTTCTGTCGTGCAAGGGACCTTCACATGAATAGACAGTGGTATCGACAGGACGTCTTTTCATTTCAGTACTGATTTTTAGCGCATACTATATTTAGAACCGTACATATCAGCTTAAATGAAAATACAGTAAACAATATTCAGTTAAATCCACTCTGGGTTAAGTTATAAAAAAAACCTTCATATGCACGCAAGGAAATGTAACCTTCACTGATGAAAACTAAGTACAGTTAGCATGAATTGTCAAGAGAAAACATTTAGAATTATTTTCTTCTCACTTTATCTGAGAACGCGCATATTCAGATATGAAATGTACACATATAATGTTTCAAAGCAAGAGATATTATTCACTGTATAACATTTCTTATTGTCTTGTGATATACCTTTAGTTCCAGTTTAATGGAATATATGTCGTCTTTCTGGTCTACGAACATGGATATTTTTGACGATTCCTTTACAACTTTCCCGGCTTGGTACCAAACTATGGTAGGTTTGGGGTTTGCCTTTACTTTGCAGGTCATAATAACGAGTTTCCCATTCATTTCCGAGACTATTCGAGGTTTCTCCACGAAAGTTGGTCCATCGCCTTCGGGTTCTGGTTCAGCCTCGATGTTGAGGTTGAGGTTGGCATTGCTTTCTCCAAAGTCATTCTTCACGTTGCATCTGTACGTTCCCCCGTCTGGTCCTGCTGGGTCCTATCAAATGCAAAGAAAAGTTAAATGGAAAATCTGAAAATACATTCCGAATTTGGCGACCAATATTTTGTATGGCCCCGGTACTGGTTTCACTGGTAAAATAAAGGGATATTTTGAAATCATGATTTCACTGAACATGAGAAGTTCAGACTGGAATAGCGACTGAGGTACCTCTCTCTATTATTTACCACCACCATCTTCTGGCTCTGTTCGTAACTATTATAAGTGATCAATATTCCAACATAGCTCACACTCATAAGTGGTTTATAGACACACGGTTCTATCTGAGGTTTGGAACCCTAGGGCAGAGGTATGTAGTTAAAGTCTTACGCAGATGAGAAATTTCATCAGCCACTCACGTTTGATAAGAAGCCACAGATTAAGAACGAGAATATAGTTTGAGTGCGCTAGGGTTATAGGCTTCTCCTAGTGCCTGGAAACCATCCAGATAACCTACGAATCCCATAAAGGTAGGGAGCTTGCGGATTAGATGAGCGGCTGTTAGCTTCTCACGAAGAATTCCCCTCCATTGAATTGCTTACGAAATATTACACACGGACTCGAACTTGGAGGAATTTTTGGCACGGCGTCATTGCTTACGAACAAGGAGCTAAGAAGAATATCTGAAGCCAAGGAGAGGAAGAAAAGACATGCAGAGTGAGCGAGAGGAAATAAGAGCACAAGGAAGGGAAGTGAACGATCGGGAACTTCATAATTTGCAACGTTCAGCAAATAAGAGCATTACCAGAGCGACGAACTCAGTGAGGATGAAATGTCACGTGAATGTAACACACGTGGGTAAAATGAGTTATTGGTATAAAATTTTATAGAGGACCCGTGAAGATACGAGAATAGATGGGAGATCTACACGCAGATGAGAAGATAGTATTAACACTGGTCCACTGTGGGTGGCCTGGATTAGGCAAGATCTTGACAGAGACCATTGTCGGGCTATTGTGGGGGGGGGATATTGAACTTTCGGTTTCATAAAATGATGAGAAATGTCTTGACCATCTGAAGGACTGTCTTTTCAAGATGGACATCAATCAATGAAGTTAGTATTCATATCATAAGAGTATGTAATCCAGGCTACAATTTCATTTCGTGCATCTTGTTGTGTTGTTATACATAATTCTTTATTGGAGTCCGTCGTAATACAACAACATAACGGTCAAGGTTTGGTCCAAATCACATGCAATCTGTATTCTCAGCAGAGCAGACAAAATACACTGTAAGATGAGGCACCGGCCAAACAATTAATATCAAATAATTCCACATCTATACCACGGGACTCCAAGCAGTTTACTGTATGTCCGCTGGAATATAACGACAAGATTGCAAAAACTGACTTCATGATACGCAATATCACATGAGGAGTTTTTAACCATATTTAATTCCATAAATTTCGTTTTATAATAAGTTTATAATTTATTGTATTTTTATACCATGTATTTTATAATGTAACAGTTATCAAGTATTCAGCTTTACTATCACAATGAAATTGCATTTCAATAGTGTGTGAATATAGTAATCATGTGTTTACCTGATGATGGCTTCAAAAGCCGAAACATGTAACTATGGTAATATTAACCTTGACCGTTATGTTGTTGTGTTACGACGGACTCCAATAAAGAATTGTGTAATTCAGGCTAATTTTATATGGAAGTGAACACACATATGGCTTCAAATTACACAAATATCCCGATTATGAAGGACAGGGCTACTTCACATCAAGCACTTTATAACATTATTTTACTATATTTTTGGTTACCGCTTGAAATCATTCATTCATTTATGAAATAAGACAGTGTTCACTTAACATTAACATCTAATAAAACAAGGGGCACTCGGTAGCGTAGTTGGTTGAGGCATTATGCTACAAACCGGAAGGTGGCCGGTTCGAGACCAGATGAGATGGATTTTTTAATTTACCTAATCCTTTCTGCCGCACTATGGCCCTGCGGTCGACTCAGCCTTTAACAGAAATGAGTACCAGGAATCTTTCTGGGGGTGTAAAGGGCTTCCGGCGCGTAAGGCTGACAACCTTACCACCATCTGTGAGCCGATGGTCTAGACAAAATATGGGAGCCTCGATGTCTCACAACCCTATGGGCTTTCACGGCCTGTTATAGGGATAGATTGTTGTTGTTGTTGTTGATGTTGCTGTTGTTGCTGTTGTTGCTGTCTAATATAACAAGTCGTTGAGTGAATAAATGACCAGATTTCCTTACATTCTTTGACTCCTAGACAATCGTCAGTGGCGTTCGAATAATTAACAAAGGGAATCATTGAAAACTTACACAAATTAATAGAAACTTTAGTCATCTTTTACATCTAAAATATGAACAAGATACAATGATTAGAATTAAAGTGTAATTATTGTAGATTAATCAGTTTAGTTATCATTTATGCCCTCTACTTATGGGGTTTCTGATCGGTATGTACTGCGACCAGTCACAGAGGCCGCGCGGTCTAAGGCATGAACTGTTTTCTCCCACTCAAACATTGGGATTGTGGGTTCGAATCTCACTTAAGACATAGATGTTTAAGTGCGTTTATTCTCTGTTGTGCTGTCCTGAGTGCAGGTAGCAGCTTGTGGCTAGCTTATCCCCTGTCCAAGGAGTGCTGCCGACTGTGTAAAGGATAAAGAAACTGAAAACAGGCGGCCAAGGTCCAACAAGGGGCTGTAGAGCCATAAAAAGATGACCAACTGTGACCTGCGATGCTATCTGCGGGAGTCTGTGATATTGGACCAATCGAGGAGGAAGAAGACACAATCCCGAGATTCAGTAAAGGAAAAATTGACAGTCCAGAACTGAATATGAGAACTGGCAGTTGAAAATTCTCCAGCCTATTGCTGCCTAATAGTATATAGAAATTAAACGAAACGTATGCCACAAAACCGAAATCTGAATATACGAAATGAATGTGTAGGTATTATTTTCATGCTTAATATTTTCAAAATTCCAACACGCCTATGTGAGAACAATAAGGACAAAGAAAATCAGATACATAATGAAATTAAAAGAAGATTAAATTCAGGATATGCTTGTAATTTTTAATTAAATAACTATTATTCCGCCTGCTTTCCAAAACTCTAAGAATACTTAGCTATTCCTGTGCATTACTGTTAAGAGTGATGTCTTATTTTAAGGAAAGACGCCTAATTAGGCGGTCGAAAGTGCTCAGTAAAATATATGACTTGGAGAGGATGAATTGAGTAAGGAATGGGGAATTTTATATATGCAGAATTTTACGTTATTAATTTTTCCAATATTGTGTAATAATTTTATGTTTCTTGTTGAACATTTCTAAGTTAGCATATGGTTCATTTCTGTTCCATGCATAAATTCTATTCTACGCATAATTACGTTCCCTTAGCTTGTGGGACTTTCAAGGTTACAGAAATTAAAAATTTGCAGTTGAATGAACAAAATAAATCTTTTTATTTCATTTGATTACCTGCAGGGATGCGGCCTTTTGATCTATGATAAGAATGAAGTGCTTAAACAATGTGATATTAAAGCGGAGTTACGAACAGTTTGGGTCCATATCAGGCTCCACAATTACGTTCGCTCTCAGGGCAGCAATTTTCAAATGTTCTTTCGATTGTGAAGCCGGCATGGGGGCACGGGACCACATTTCGTTCAGTGTGCATGCAAAAATGTGGTCAGTGGAGGTATAAATAAAAATGAGATAAAATTTTCCCGTAAATTTACTCGTTCTGCCAGTTGAATGGTATCAATTTTTGGTACACTTTGTATACTTATATTTTGTGGCAATAACTGGTGAATATGGTTTATGATCATTAGCTACAATGATCACACAAATCATTCTTCGTGTTTTGACCTTGAACTCACAGCAGTGCTGGGGTCCATTGCAGAGTGTGCTAATGGGAACAGGCCAGCTTTCCTTCCTTTTACATTCCAAATTCGTCTGATTGTTTCAACACTGAGTTATTTAAAGACTATTTTTCAACAGAGTGAGTTGAACTGTAGGACCAAGTTTTAATGGTAAACTGGGATGGGTGTACAATGAATTGGACGTGGTTTACTATAAGGCACTGTAAAATTAATTTAAAGGCTTGAGAAATCTCAGTGAGGATAGCCGGTCTTCACGCATAGCACTCGGATACGGAGCAGCTATGCTAACCACTCGAAAGTGAATTCAGTAAATACAATTTAGTGAAGACAAATGAAAGCTCATTAACTTGAAAGTGACGACAGGGAAGGGAGCTGTACCGTCTGTTAATGGCTAACTAATCCTCGAAATATTTAAGGGCATGAGCTCAATTCCGGAGGATATGTAGAGACAAATAGCATTGAAAGTGACCATAAACAGTGGGAATAATTTTCAATTATTACTCCGGCATTCGAATTGTAAATTTTTACAGAGTCTGCGTAAACTCGTCAAATTCCTGACAGGGTTGCAAGTAACCCCACTGAGATTGTATACTTTCCCTAACACAAGTACACAGCGTTACCGCTTGTCGCTTACCGCTTGGGGATGTGGACTATTATGAAGTCACAAATTCGAATAGAACGACAATGAAAGCTAACCTTTATTTCTAGTAGCAATTCATAAGTGTCCTCCTCTTTGTCAATTGTCGTTATCTTAATCTTTGAAGATTCTTTGACTATTGTGGTACCTCGGTACCAGGTGACAACAGGTTTTGGTTTCGCTTTGCATTTGCACTTCATCGTGATAAGAGTTCCAGTGTCGTTTGGAATAATTTTCGGCTTCTCAACAAAAGACGGAGCAAATCCTGCTGCATCATCGCCACCTGAAACAAAGCGAAATATACCAAGTCAATTTCTAATATTATTATCTTTCTTAATTCAACTGTCAAATACAAAATACACTAAGTATATAATTCTATTTGAAATAAATTCTCTCTGCTTCCTGAAATAAAATGCACGTTCTTACAAAAAAACACAAGGAAACAAATAAAAAGGTTGAGAACAAACACATTCATTTTCACATCTGAAGTATGAAACGGCTGCATTTCCCTTAAGTTGCACACACTAGGAGTATTATCATGCTAGGAGTTCGGAGCAGAACTTGGCTACTGTTCCCCCTGCAGTCCACGCGAAAGATGTGTAGGAAAATATTAACTGCAAGTTGAAGAGGCAGGATATTATAAAATGTGCAGGCTTCATTTAGCGACAACTTATTACAGTCAAACATATTAACAATAAAGTAAACACTCAAAATAACAGATTATAAGACACATATATCATATTTGTAATGGTGGGAGAGGACACACAACGAAAATAGTTTGGGAAGCACGTACTTAACATCAAATGTGAACAGAGTGGATATTTACCAGATTGTTCCTCCCTGTCACTAATAAGCATACCTTGGAAATTTAGCGCAATATTGGCATTGCTCTCCCCAAAATTATTGAAGGCGTTACATCTGTAGTTTCCTCCATCTTCTTTAGTAGGGTTTGATATTTCCAATGTTAAAAGATATGCATCTTTGCCCGTAGCTTTCCTTGACATACGAACACGGTTGCTATCTGAAATGACTTTCGTACCCTGGTACCATGTAATCTCAGGCACAGGGTTGGCTTCCAAAACGCACTCCATCACGAGTATATCGCCTTCTTGTTTTATTGTTGGTTTCTTCGGGAATCGAGGGGCTTTGCCATCTGGAATCCTATACAAACACATCAGAAGGTAACATACACGAGCTGAAGTCAAGCCCAACACTTTCCTAGATACAAATCCAAATTTAACCTCAAAATTTGAGCAACTTTAACAGAAATAACAGATAAAAATTATTCTATTTTGTTATTATCGCACGCTAAGTAGTTTTCATCATCAGTTTCTTGTAAAATAAAAGTTTGTGTAGGTCCCATGAGGAAATTATTTGAATCTGATTAACTTAGGTCTGTTCCGTGACACAGACTCATTCGTGAGAAAATAGAAATACCTCACTAATTGTTCAACGAAGTTAGGTTATTTATAAAAGATAAGTTGATATCAATTTTAGACTTTCGACTTGAAACATTTTAATTCATTTTACATAGCTATTTTGAGTAGACAAAATCCATTGCCATGTTAAATAGACTCGTTATGGACAGTACTGAAATTCAGATTTATATCGGCATATCTATATATTCGCGTCTATCTCAATAGAGAAGATAGTCTAAATTAGACCACATATTGCGGTTTCTATAATATTTTCATTTTCTCAAGATTAGCAAATTTAACATCAAAGTTTTGAAAAGTTTTACTGTGTTACATCTAACGTAGACCCAGGTGGCTTTCAGGTTGATTCTGTCCAAGGTATGATTTAAAAATTTGGTACTGAGGAGACTTTTAAATATAAGATTTAATTTCATAACAACCATCTCATTCTGTGAAAAATTATTTGTGGAACAAACAGACTGCGGAGGGGGAGGGGAGATTTCCCTTTCACACAGCGATGGAAGTTTTTGAAGTAATTACAAATGGTCAAGTTGGAGTCGTTAGAGAATTTTTGATACTTGAGAAACTGCTGTCAATAAAATAGTAGAAAGCAATGGCGGCTTTTAAGTTGCTTTAAATAGAAGACATTTTTATTAAGACATAAAAGTCCGAATGATTTTAAATAATGAGATAACAGAGTTCCGACTCCTATATACCGACATCATGTAACAACTGAAGGGATGGCTTTTGGTTTTACAGGATTTCAGAAATTCTCGCGCTCTTGTTAGTTCATTTATTTGGGAAAATGGTGGACGGTAATTTCAGTGTTAATGTTAGCATTAAGTTTACCATCAGAAAAGAAATCATATGCTCAGTGTAATATGTCGTAAATATTTTAGTATTAACACATCTGAAATTTGTAGACTGTGGTGAAATATTACAAATTCCTGGCGGCTGTCCGCAGAACTTATCGTATTCCGAATATGAATAGTTAAATACTTTCGAATTTAGTGCAGATGTAACACAAAGACGGTTATAAGAATTTTAATAACAATGTTTCACTCTAATTATTCCATAAATTCTTTAAATAGATTTTTGAAATTTTTTTAGGAGATTTCAATGCCAAAGTAGAGATGGAAGACAATTTGATACCAAGAATTGGGAATAATAATTTGCATGAAATTAATAATAATAATAATGAAGGTAAATTATTAAAAATTTTCACATCCAAAAATCTTAATGTCAAAAGTAGAATCTTCCCGCATCGTAACGTTTATAAATTTACTTGAACATCTCCGGTTGCAAAACCTCGCAATAAAATTGGCCATATTTTGACAGACAGGAGACGGCATTCAATTATACTTGGTGTACGATCACTCAGAGCAACAGATTGTGATACTGACCACTATGTCCATAGAGTTAAAGAATTATTGTTCTTTCATCCAGTAACCTAAACAAATCACAATTTCTTCATCATGTGAGCGGCTGATACATGCGTACAAACAGAGCGGGCTGCAGACACACGGTGAGTTTAACTGTACATTCACAGGAGTATAAAATGCTGGTCTGCCTTTTTTTCCAAAAAAAGTGGGGGAAATATATGTCAGATATTTCGTATAAATTTACACAAAGTCAGAAGTAACCCAGGCGACTTTTCTGCCTCTTCATAGGAATTACAATAAGGCATCCATTTCCATATGACAAGAATATTTCACGTGCAATATCTTACTTTGGTTTGCCACCTCCTTCAAAATTCAAATTTATAGACGCCGTGCCTTCTCCATGCTTGTTCTTGGCCACAGCTTTGTAGTCACCTCTGTCAGCGTTTTCCACAGAGCTGATCTCTAACCTCGCCAGGTAGTAAAGTTTCTGGTCCTGTTCCAGGGACATGTGGAAGCGCCCGCTTTCCTTCAGCACTTTTCCTCCATGATACCTTTCCAGAAAACACAAACGAAAAATATATAAAGAGTTAAAGACCGTAACTATGAAGGTATGATTTTCTGGGTTGTAACACTTTGTGGACAGGAGAGAATCAGACTTTTCGGAAGACCTTATTGTCTCCGTCTCTAGGAAGGATGTATAAGTTAAGCAAGGAAGCAAACTCAGCTAACCGCCTACTTATGCTGGTTCCTTGCTTCGGTTAATTTTCGACGATGAAGATGGATGTGCTGTATTGCCCAAAACGTCGGGTTCCCTCCCAAGTACATGGCCTTGCAATCCAGAACACCCTACTCTACAGGGATACCAGTATGAGAACCTCAAATGCAACCATAATTAACTTCCAACACAAATTTCGAAAATCAAATTAATAATTTCATATGTATATGAGGATATATATTAATGTTTCTAAAATATTAGTACAAAATTGTGTTAATATAGAAATGCAGAGGCCAAGTGAAATTTTTTAAACAGTTCATATCCCAAATTTGTCTTTTATTTTAGAACAATTTTTGTTATTTGCTTTTATTAAAAATAATCCGATGGAAATCACAATTTCAATTAATAAATTAATTCCTAGCTTTATTTCATATTTCCTCCTGGGTTTTCACCTATATGCCACCTTTGGGAACACCCCTTGAGCTGCAGCGATTCAGAACTTTTAAATCCTGGGATAATTAGCATAAGTAAGGTTCGTACAAAACGGGGAGTGTTATCCGATATGGCACACATTTACAAGTTTCGTCCCTATTACTAAAAGCGATAAGTTCCTTCGTCATATTTTCAATTAGGTATCAAAACCCACTTGACGTCTGCTCTAGCTTGAAGATGGTATTGCTAATTTATATTGCGTATTACTTCCATTGACTTGTATTTGCCATATCATACAATAAATATAGTGAAAGAGATTCCCAATTATAGAAAATCACAGGACATGTTGAAGAATCTTCATATTAAGGGAAGTTTCCAGACTTCATGTCGATTTTAACTCTCTTTCCGTCTCATAAATACGGATGAATATGCACAACACAAACACAGTAGCTGTTACGGTTCATTCAACAGACATGGAATCAATTACGAATGCAAATAATTTAATGTATATTTGATTTTAAAATGAACAATACGTGATAATTTCCTCCAACAATCTTACTGCTTAAATTAATAAGAAATGTAATTACGCAATGCAAAATGAACTAGCTACGAAGGTAATGCACGTTAATAGGAGAAGGGACGATACACAGAATGGCCATTATTGAATAAATTATTTATATGTTATCGGATTTCGATTAATTAATCAAATAATTTTTGTGTAAAACATAAACTGTTATCCCAGAAAATAAAATAAAAATAAAAGTGCACAAATTTGTGATTTAGTATAGATATATGATATTTCATAACCAGCGCTTAATTTGAAAGATAACAACATTCAAGAAATTCATATTCTGANAATTCGTAATAACACTTAGTTTAATGATAATGAAATTATTATTACTGTCATAATTATCAGCTATTTGTTTGTTTACTTTTACTTTATTCATTATTATTGTAATTTGTATTCGACTTTTAATAAGATTGTGTATAATGCCATTCATTCTTCTGCACTGTGCTGTGTCTGTAATTGGCCTTGCGGCTGTTGACTCGGCACATTAATAACCAAGAATTGAATTGAATTGGATTATTAATGTGCCGAGTCAACAGCCGCAAGGCCAATTACAGACGCAGCACAGTGCAGATGAATGAATTTCATTATAAACAAACTTATTAAAAATCAAATACAAATTACAGGTAAGTACTTGGAAGAAATAATAATGAATAAAAGTAAAAGTAAACAAACAAATAACTGATAATTATAACAGTAATAATAATTTCATTATCATTAAACTAAGTGTTATTACGAATTGAGGAATGAAATATAAATATTTAATTAAGAAATGAATAGTATAGATTTTCAGAGGATAATAATAATATACGTAATTCATTTTGTTTTACTGGACATGCAAATAATAAAAATACTAACAGTTATACTATATTTAAAATTTGTTTGGGTAGAACATTCCTGGCTCCGAATACGTCAACATCCCTGCAGACAGCATTAGCAGCTGCTGCGCATCTAGCAGAGGGACAAGTTTTAAATAAGGAGCAAACATTGAACAATGCAAAATCTGTGATATACCGAAATTTCGAAATTGATGTTAAGAAAAATGAGATACTTGATCTTAATTATAATTTCATAATAACAAAGTTTATTTCACTAATTAAGCACTAATAATAACCATACCTGATATTAAGAAACACTAACCATGTAACTGTTGGCTTGGGATCACCAACAAGTCGACACTCGAATGAGACTTTCCCGCCATCATCAGTCTGCCGAATCACAGGCCTTTCGGTGAATGTGGGTTTGATGCCATCCGCTGGCACCGGAGCCTCATCGCCTATATTGAGAAAGGAACCTAAACCGGCTATTTTATATGTCGCTTTTAAAGGGAAAGCTCAGAGAGAAGGAGCGAAGCGTGCCAATTAATGCCTGTGATCTAGCGAAACAGGTGAGAGCAGTTCTGCTGGGCGACGTGGCAGTGCTGTTCACAGTTTCAAGATGCCATCTGCTTACCAGAGTAAAGAGAATGGACTGATCACAAATCCACTTAACAGTAACAAGGTCCGTGAATTATCATTCCAACCAACATAACACTGAATGAGAACATATTAAGCATGTATTTGCAGTTTAATCCTTGTACCAAGAGTTTGAATTTTCTGTGTAAACGCTTAACAAATATCGAGGCCTTTTACAGACACACAACTATATTTACTGTAATCGTTTTCAGCATTTCATTAACGAAAAGATTTTGAAAGAGTGAACATGGTACTGTAATAAAATATTAGAATAACTTAGCGTGTCATTGGCAAAATATAAAATTCAAGGAAAACACATGCATAAATTTCATATTTACGGCTAAGTGGCATAACGTTATTGAGTCATGTAAGAGATTTACTATAACAGTGGTCCTAGAAGTGTCAATACTAGGCAGAACATCTTTACCGCTGATGCATTTGACTACTAGATTTTCCAGTTGAAGAAACAGTCAACATATTGCAGTTCTTCTCGAGCTACCACGAGTACAGATGATAAGTAATATTTTCTTTTCCTTGGCACTACAGCCCCAGTGGGCCATGAACTTCTCGGTTCACTTCGGTTTTTCTAGATTTTACACATTCCGTAGGACTCCTTGGGCGGGTGATCAGCTCGTCGCAAGGCCTCTACCTGTACACAAACACAGAAAAACGCACACACACAAACTAAACATCCATGCCCTGAGTGGGATTCGAAACCACGATCCCGGTTTCCAAGCGAGCGAAGACAGTACATGCCTTAGACCGCTCGACTACCATGACTGGATAAGTAACATTTATGGGAGATAAAAAGCAGCGCGTTTCTCTACCTTGTCATTAGGACAAGAAATTACATTCGTGAATCCAGAGCAATCCACAAATTTTGGATCATAAATGTAGCCAGGAACGAGAACTACTGAAATACTCAAAATCTAAAGTGCTCTACCGAAGTAAAAATATTGCTATGGGACGCACCACTGTGTAGTTGTGTATATACGTATTTGATGCCTGTCTACCAAACTACTCGTACATGGTATCACATGTAAGAAGACAGTAAGCATCAGAGTCACAGCCATCACAACCTGAATGTCACACAGTATCCCTGTTGCTCTTACGGCATTCTAGTTTCCGTAGCAGCCTGCCCAGAGGTACAACAGCCCATCCTCCTAGACAAGTTTGTGTCATTTTCATAAATTATTCAATACAAATGATTAATGAAAGTAAGTGCAACTTTCGTCTGTCCGATAACTACATCTATTTATGATGTAACAAGAGCATTCTAAATTTTCAACATTTTAAGTGAACACAATTGGAAGTTATTTCACCAGCGGAAGACTTGTGGGGAAACACTCTCATCACAGTTCTACAAATTATTCCGATAAGAGTAGCTGTAAGTAAGACACAGCTGCCTATTCAATTTATTACGACAGACTAAGCGTAGTTTATTTTAAACCTGTTATGCAAATAATTTACATACCTATAAGGATTATTCATGCCCCAAAAGAACTGAATTAATCTTAACCTACGTATGTTGATGCAAAGTATGTCACAAGAAAGGAATATTGCATAATACTGTGTTTTGAAACTACCAACTGCAAACAAAATATATTACTGCACTGGAAATAATATATGACTGAGAAATTATTAATAATAAATTGCGTGGTTGTTTGAATTGGTATTACAAATGCTACGTGATGCTGTCAGCTATCATAACTTGTCAAGCATAAAGTATGGTGTTATATGAAAGGCCTCCTCCGGATGTAAGGAATATTCTAGATTAAAAATACATAAACTTCACACGAAGATATGTACAAATACGATGCTCCTTATTAGTTTATTTTGTTAAAAAATTGATATCCATATTTTAAAAGAATGAATTTCCTCTGCAATATTGCATACCCAAATTTGCGACTGACGTATTTAAATGTGTCCATGCGAAAATAGGGCAAGAGCAGTATCGCCACCTACACAATTGTCATCCAGTGTTTAAATATTATACTAATGTAACCACACTATCTGCCGGTCACGGTAGCCGAGCGGTCTAAGGCATGTACTGTCTTCACTCGCTTGGAAACCGGGATCGTGGGTTCGAATTCCACTCAGGGCACGGATGTTAAGTTTGTGTGTGCGCGTTTTTCTGTGTTTGTGTACAGGTAGAGGCCTTGCGACGAACTGATCACCCGCCCAAGGAGTCCTACCGAATGTGTAAGATCAGGAAAAACCGAAGTGAACGGAGAAGTTCATGGAGGTAGGCCTAGGCCCACTGAGGCTGTAGTGCCAAGAAAAAAAAAACACCATCTAACTGGAATTTAATTTTTCACCAAAAGTTCTAGTCCTGCAATCATCTCAGCCTTCATTCGTCTAACAAAAGTAAATTCAATATTTTAGTTGACAATGTCCTAAAATGGGGGGCACACGGCAGCGTAGTTGGTCAAGGCACTATGCTACAAGTCGGAACGTCGCGGAATCGAATCCCGATGAGGTAATTTGATTTTTCAATTGATCTAATTCCTCCAGCCGCACTGTGTCCCTGGGGTTGACTCAACTTCTAACAGAAATAGGTACCAGGAATTTTCCTGAGGGTAAAGGGAGAATGGCGTGTAAGGCTAACAGAATTGCCGGCATCTATGAGCCGACTCTCTAGAAGATGTGAGAGCCTCGACCTTTCACACCCTTATGGGCCTTCACGGTCTGTTACAGAGAGGGCTTTAACTTTCATTAATGTCCTAAAATAAACTAAAAGTCTCTCTATAACCTGGCACAAGATATTTCATTTTCATCCACACTCAGAAACAAGAGTCTTTGCTTTAATCTTATATTTGGACTTCCCACGAAAATGCGAACTTTGCTGCCACAATTAAATAATAAATCTATAAAAAATAAGTTTGAACAATGAAAAGAGGACTCGCATTGTACGCTAGGAAATTTTTAAATTCTTTAGAGATACTGTCAGGAATACCACACAGATAGTTCTAAATACTGTAGAACATTCTACTTAAATATATGGATTAATATAAAACAAGATTTCACTTTGAATAGAATTCCCATTAAATTTTTAAAATAAATCGGTTCTGCTATATTTTGGCTTATTATAATTTCTTATCCTCAGAAGCTTCTTGCACCACACGATAAAGCGGGTGTCTGAGCTCAAATATGATTATAAATTGTACACATATTTGAGTAAGGGAATTTTGCACTTTTGGTACAAGGAAGAATTAAGTTGATCGAACTGTTTTGTTTATGTTACTGATCTCCTGATATACCTAATTGTATATGTGAAATATATTCGGAAAATATGCATGTATAAAAATGTAGCAACTCCATTTATCTCAACCTTAACTTCGAAATTCTTCTATTAATTGTGCTGAAAGACTGCGACAATTTCAAAATTGTACATTGTTACTGTTTTGTGGGTATTATATTGCTTTTATTCTTCTATATTTACTCCACATGAATGTTGTTTATTTTTTATGGTAAGATTTGAAATATTCACTAGGCCTAGTGTAGTTGGACCTGGTAGTGTAGCAGTATCATAATATATTTGCTTCTGATGTTGCTCTTTGTGAACAAAACCCCGCATTGAAAAATGTCGTCTTCATAGTCACTGCCGTGAAAACCTCAAATCTTACATAAAAACTACACTATTTTATTGAACTTCTGAACTCGTACTGGGCAAAGTGAACATAAGTTAAAAATCCTTTCAAATATGCATGACATTATAGTAGCAATTGAATACGACGTTAATAAAGTTGTCCCTAAAGTTTAAATGAGAATCAGATCATTTCTATATAAAAATGAATTACAGAAATGTCTCTGAGATATTTAAATTGTACAAAAAAGTAAATTGTATTTTTTACCCCAAATTTCATGCCACATACCACATGTCTGACACACACAGTGTATCACGAGTATTGGATCTGGAATTTTGGGATTCAAATTCTTCAGGATTGATTTCATCGTAATATTTTACCCTATATTATATGCCAGACAGTTCTTTATGTTATATAAGTACAGTAAAATGTTAGTAGCGTCTTGAATTTACAATTGCATCTCTCTCACGGATACTGCAAAAAGTTAACACGTGGTGGAGTCATTAAGTTCGTGGACTGTGGTTTTATCGCATCATATTACAAGGTATTTTACATCTACCTACGCAGATCCACATCGGCCCTCAAAATAGTTGCCGTTGGCCGCTATGCAAGTTTGCCAACGTTTATGTAGCTGTCGAAAATTTGCTGAAACATACTGGCAGGAAATTCCCGTACGACACTTGCGGCCATTCCACGAACTTATTGACTGTGGTAATATTATTGCTGTAATAAATTTTAACTGTCACTTCGAATGTGATTTAAGAACTGGGATTTCAGTAACACATTCTTTGTTCCTGTTATTGTATCACATCCATAGGCAGTTTATTCCTCTTAGGAAAAATAAGATAAGTCCTGTCTTATTAATCATACGTTGCGCTAAACTCTTGTCTCTTTCCTTATAATTTCCAGTTTTTCAGCACTGCATAGGAAACATAGTCAAATCCAGATTCAGTACTCTTTTAATACTATTGTAACGATACTGTGCCCCTAAAGTATACTTTCAGTGTCAAGAATGTTAACAAAAGGCACGAACCGGAATATTCTATCAAAGTACATTCACATTTCATTTTCCGTCAAAATGTTGGCAATGTGCCCTGTTTACTATATTATAATTAAGCATCCTGTTACACTATACACAATATATGACAAATCCGTCCTAAGTGCTACAATTTATTGTAGTTCTTTCGTCTTGTCTTCTTCTACACTACATGTTTCGGCCGCAAACGGCCATCATC